ACAGGTCCGTTGTGCCCCTGACAGGCCTGTCGTGTATACTTGCTAGACCTGTGGTGCCCCTACTTCCTGGCAGGCCTGTGGTGCCCCTGGCGGGCCTGTGGCGCCCCTACAAGGCCGTAGGTGCCCCTGAAAGGTTTGTGGTGTCCCTGGAAGGACTTTGGTGCCCCTGACAAGCCTGAAGTGTCAAGGACAGACCCTTTAGACGCCAGGGTCAAGTTCGTCGGACTGACAACGATTTGCTTACCTGATAACGTTCCTGGTAAGTACTCACTACTCAGCGTCCACAACATATATACACATAGCATCTATGCACATAGCACATTCATATATACTTGCTTACAATTGGTAAATGTGGTTGTGGCTAAGAGTTAAGATACTGACTAAAAATAAAAAATAAAAAGAAAAAAACTGAAAATGGGGGCACCACCAAAATGAAGTGGACGAAATCCGTTGAGTTTTTAATTTTGGGTATAGGTAGGGGCACCACTTCGATTCATGACCCTCCCCTTGGAGTTTTCCTGGATCCGCCCCTGCCCATAGGGGGCCTATGACAGATGATGGCTACGTTTACGCCTGTGGATATACATTGCCTCGGAGTCGGAGTCGGAACAACGCTGCCATGACTTTGAAACCCTGGTTCTAAGGTAACGTCAGTGACGTCGAAAATAGGCATGCATGGGTCTAGAAAAATCGACCCTGTGATGTCATCGACGGGCTAGGCCCATTTTTTTCACTCCAGAAGATGTCAAATTGAATGGGGGGGGGGGGTGATGTACTGAAAGTTTCGCGCTCCCATTTCTAAACGTTCGGAAGCTATCGCGAATATTGGTGGGGGGGGGGGGGGGAAATGCCCCCGGGCCCGTGGGGTTATTTTCGTCTTTTACATGCACTTGACCTGTCACATCATTACCCGAAATTCATATTTCAGGACCTCTTCAGATGCGTCTCGACAGGCACGTATCCAGGATTTCGCTCAGGGGGGGGGGGGGGGCGACAGCCGAGAAGGGCCCGGAGGTCAGCCAAAAGGGGCCCCACAGCGACTGCCTATCCTGGCGTGTAAAAATTCGAGAATGTCGAAAAAACAGCAAATTTACGATAGAATTTGGCATTGTAAATGAAAATGCATTGTCTTGCGTTTCTCGACCTTGATAACATGTTTGCAGTTAGCTTCCGTTGAAGTTCGTTTTTGCAGTTCACTTCCGTTGAAGTTCGTTAACCCGCGCCCGGCCGGGGGGGGGGGGCTGTTTGAACACCTCCTCCTTGCGGTTTTGCGTGGATATAAAAAAGAGGGATGAATCTTATCTACAGTCCAGATATGAAAATTTTACACCCAGGTCGCTCAAGGTCAGGTCACCAGACCACGTCAAGTGACCTCACCTCAGAAAAGGTTAGAATGCTCTCCATAGCAACACCGACTGAACGATCGGCTTGAAACTTTTAGCGATTGATAAGAGTAACAGTACCTATGTATAAAATGATTATCTCGAAATTTGCATACCGGTGGTGACATAAGGTCAAGTCAATTTTTGCGCTCTCTCCATTAGGTTTTATAAATGGGAGAAAATCGAAAGGTGCCTCTTTTAGGCAAACGTCATCCTAGGCACCCTCAATCACCTGGTTACATAAAAAATGACAACCTAAATCGGAAATTTGTACCCGTGACCCCTCCTTATGTCTATGGGGTCATCTCAGGTCACGAAACGTCTCCACAGCTTTTGACAATAGCATTTGTTAGAGACACGCTAGAGCGTTGAAAACACCTTAGATGTGTTCAGGCCTTATCGACGATACGGTTTGACGAATGTGCAACATGACCTTTCAGGTCAGGTCACCTTGAATTTAGTTCAAATTTTCTAAATGACCTGATAAGGTCAAATTATATGTAGCTCATTCGACGCGTCTCGACGAGAGTAACACGATGCTGACAAAAGAAATGTCGTGCCTTTTCCTGAGTCGAAAATTGTTAAAGAAAAAAAGTGTTTCATAAAAACGACTATTTTAAAAGTTTTTTCTCTCAAGAGGCTAAACCGTTAACCCAAGCACCGACGGGGGGGGGGGCTGTTATCCGCCCCCCCCCCTTGAGGTTATGCGGGAAAACCGCGGCGCGTAGCGCCGCGAAATTTGGCATGACTATTTTCTCATTAATTTTACACATGGTGTGCAAGTTTGAACCTCCTAACTTTTAAGGTCAGATCACCAGGTTACTTCGAATGACCCAACCTCAAATCACTTTTTTGCAACTTTGTCACGTCGTGTCAGAGCTACAGTAGATAACGGAGTATGATTCGATGCGGATTGACGAGAGGATCACGATGGTGCCCTTAGTTTGTTCCTAGCTTGGCTAATTCGAAAGTTATTCGAGAAAAACTCTTCATATCTAGCGCCGCCATTTTGACTTTTTTTACCCCTGTGACGTCATCTTTGACCTGATCTGGAAATGACCTAATTAAAAATTGTAGACCTTGTCCGTGCGTACCCCATGCCGTTTACCGCTTGTCGCTATCTTGCTTCGTTCTTGAGATCTCAGGGGGCGGGCGGTCATCCGCCCCCCCCCCGTCGGTTCTAAGTTGGCGCGGACCCCCGTCGGTGCGCGGGTTAATCGCAGGTCAATTCTGAGAACAGTTTACGGAAAGAACGTTAAAAGAACTATTGAATGCGTTTTTTTTTGTGGCGCTGCAGCTCTGTTTGTACCCGGGTTATGCGCCGGAGTTGTCAAACAATGTTGAAATAGGCAAAATGTGACCTTTGCTGACTTATGGTGACCTGACCTTTGACCTGACCTAGAAAATGACCGAGTTACTTTCGGCATGATTTTTTACGCTCTTCCGAATGCCACGTACGCTTACGTGTCGCTGGGTGGCCCAGGAGCCGAGTTAGAGAGAGAGGGTGTTCAAACGCCTCCCCCACCGCCTGTCCCAAACGCCATCCGTGGCGCAACTATGGAGCTCATTTTGTTCGGAGAACTGTAAACAGGAGCAGCCCCATGAGGTCAGTCGAAAGGGTCCCATCATCGGCTGTTGCCTGTTCCTCGGGCCCCATGGCCTGGGCAGGGCCTTCTCAGCGGGCCCTTCCGTTTCTGGGGCCCAGCCAGGACAAGCTGTTTCTGAGACTGGGCACGGAAGTGTATATCTGGGCTCGCTTTCTTGATACGTTGTCGAGGCCGAGGGACCAATACTTAAGCTCAAAAGCCTGCTTCAAGGCTTTCTGAGCGGGCCCTTCCGCTTTTGTAGACCTCCCGGGCCCCCGGTTGTCATTGGCTTGGCCCGGTCCGCTTGTGGGGCCCGGCTAGGGACCCATATGAGCACCGGCAAGACCCTATGGGCCCTTTTTGGACCCGAAAGCCTGGGCAAGATCTTCTCAGCGGGCCCTTCCACATCTAGGGCACAGACAGGCCCTGTGACTGGGCACGGAAGAGGATTTTTTCGGATCCGCTAACCATAACTTCTCCGGGGCCAATTAGCTCAAAAGCGATACCTTTGGGCCCGATAAGGGACCCGTTTGGAGTCCGGCAGGGCCATAGGGGCCCTTCCTCAAGCTCGAAGGCTCGAGCATATCCTTCTGAACGGGTCTTTCCGCTTTTGGGGCCCTGCCGGGCTCCAAATTGCCCTCGCTCTGCCCAAAAGTGGGCCGAAGGGCCCAGTTACGGACCTGTTTGTGGCCCGGCAGGGCCCCAGGGGCCCATCCGCGAACCAAAAAATTCGAACAAATCCTTCTGAACATGCCCTTCCGCTTTTTGGCCCAGCCGACCCCAAATTGTTCCTGACTAGGCCCCAAAGCGGGCCCTTCGGGCCCGCTTTCTTGCTGCCTAGCGGGCCCTGCCGGGCCCGCTTTTGGGGCCCGGCAGGGCCCAGGGGGGGGCGACCGCCCCCGTCGCCCCCCCTTGGATACGTCCCTGCGTCTCGATGATTTTTTTTTCAACGCCGCGTAACCCGTCTCGCTGCGAAGCTTAGTTTCAAAGATAATATGGGGGACGTTAATGCCCCTTCAGTCAATGGGCTTCGGCTGGACGCTTAATCAAGCGCTGGCTAAAAACAAAAATAACTGGAGAAAAGCTTCCGCTTCAGCTTAAAGGGACTATCCCACCTTTAACATGGGGTTTGAGTTGAGATAGCCAAGTTTGCGGCGAGGTTCAGAAACCACTATCTATCTAGGTTGCAACCCCCGCGGCCTCTTGGTGTTGAAGAAATTCGTTCCCTTCATTTGAAAATGGGCCTTGTACAAGGCCCTATCTTCAACATGAAGCGACCGTTAGTGTGACGTCACCTCGTTTAGTCATTCTGATTTAAATGGGTTTGTTCGTTGAAAAATCGCTTAAAACTTGGTCTGAGCTTTGTTGTGGTGCTTACAGAGTAAAAAGAATCAGCTTTATGACAGTAATGTGGCCTGGGGAAGGAGGTAATTTTGGGCTGTGACGTCACATATTTGAAAGTTTGTGTTTGGAATATGGGAAGCCTAAGATGTTTAATGAAAAATAAATGGCAGAACCGTGTTCCTGGTCATCCAATCTATAAAGTCGGGCACAATTTAACTGGTTTTAACAACATTTTAGAAGGTGGGATAGTCTCTTTAAAAAAGAGATGACCAATGCACTGCAACTACCTATTGTTGCACTGTTTTAGTCCTTTGTTTACATGATACTGAGATCTAGCAATTTCTGTTATTAACAAATCTAACAATTCCGTTTGAGTCTTCTTCAATGCTTATTTATTGCTCATCCCACGCGCGGAATTCACGCAAATTCAGTCGCCCACGTATGAGGCCAAGCGCAGAACCGACGTTCTGAAATTTCCTTCTCGGGCAAATTCCAAGAAGCACAAGAGGGCCACCTTCGGCGAATGGTGGCGCTGTGGCCTTCCCGCGGTGTCTGGTGCCGCTCTCAGACGGCGCCGGCCTGTGACGTCACAGCGTCGAGACCGGCGCGGCGCGGCGTCGGCAGGTCAGAGCACGACCGGCGCCGAGCCGGACAGGATCGCCGCCACTCGCCGGTCCGACAGGTCCAGAGATGGGGAGACGGTACCGCTGGCTGCCGCTGCTGGCCGCCGCCGTGGCGGTTCAGCTCAGCGTCGCCGCCGCGCAAGGAGGGTAAGTCGAAACTGCACTTAGGGCGGTTAGAACAGGAGCTGAGACAGCTAGGACAAGTCGGCACGGGTGGGACAAAAACCGTTCGACTGGCCATTCTGTTCAAATAAGGAATCGAATAGCAGTATGTCAATATGTACTTGTCAACCTATATTCTTTCTAGTTTGTCACTCACTTGGCAGCAAAATACATTGAATCGAGTTCGCTACCGAAACATTTGCCCAGCCTCCAACGCTATGGCTAGCCAAGGCATTGAGCACATTTGCCATTAGCCGAGAATGCACCGGCCAGGGCTTGTCGATAAGTTTGACCGCGGATACAAGGGACTGGGGAAATCACTGCGCCAAAACTTAAACGTTTTTGTATCCCGTTTTTTAACATTTCCGCGCCAGATTTCAAATCAGAGTTGTCTGAATTGTTCCGCTACCGCTTATAATAAATCGGAAATGACTGATTGCATTGCGCGAGAACTGGGCGTATAGATACCGTAGGCAATTGGCACCCATTGGACGATGCACTTAAAGGGACCCTCCCACCTTCAAAAAAGTTTATGAATTGGCATGAACGTGATGTCGCTCGGTTCAGAAAGAGCGAAAACGAATATCTACCAAATTTCACCGAAAAATATTCACCGGTTTTCAAGCTATTAGACTTTTATTTTTGTTTACTTTTTTGGGATCTCCGCTGTTTCTAGCGACTTTATTTTAGAAGTGCGGCGTTTGAGGCAGATGTTGCGCGCAAATAGCATATACCACCGCGTGCTACAAAACATTTTAGTCAAACATTTGAAAATCGTTAGATATCTGCGCTGACGTCACACATTCAGAGGGGTATTCCTAAGCATTAGCCCCTCTGAATCAAAATGCTGCAATTTTGAAATTCAATATTTCCGATTTAAGGCATTTTTCGATGTTGTGAGTGCCGAAACCGGTAATTGTGAGCCAGGGACCCCATTTTGGCTATCTCAACTCAAATCTAATGTTAAGGTGGGAGGGTCCCTTTAATATTGCGCATCACGCATGATTTGCACCGTGCAGGGGCCTATACTATATATCATGAATGGCTGGGCAGTTTGCACTTTAAGTTACAACATAGTTAAAACAACAAACAACAACAAACATAGTTACAACAAAGTTACAACATAAACTTACAACATAGTGATTGGTTAGAGGATTGACTCATACGAACTATTTCGGTCTCATGTTGCACGTGCGCACGTGCAGACTCTTCATCTCAAAAACGGCTGGGGTGATGAATCTCTAATTCAGTAAGTCGTTCGGGGCTGTTGAGAAAGAGGGAAGAGCACAAGTCGGTTAAGGTCTCAGTTTGGACGAACTTATGTTGCACGGGCTAATATTGCGCTCACTCGCCTTTCGCCAAACATCTGTCTCATTGGTTGTAAGAGAAAGGGACAGCAGAATATGTTTCGGATTAGGTTGAAATATTTATCCCACAGTACCTATAGGTATGTACAGTTTTTTACGACTCCTAAATATGTCACAGCTATGTAAAAAAAGGTTTGTGCATTTTTCAATAGCTATTTTTGATTTTTTAAAAATGTTTTCTGAATGTTACATGAGACAAAAAACGACATCCTGAAAATAACACGAGTTTTTTGCCTTTAAACACGTTACTGTTTAGAGTAGGTACCTAAAGCTGAATACATTTCAGTTTACGGAGGAAGCTGCAGATTCCCTCCCTTCATTGAACTATATAGCCGAATTATTTCACCGACTTCAATGTATTCAATGCTGGGTGATAATGTTGCATTTGGTGGGTTTTGCGACTGTCTGGCCTTTTTTGTAGTTTTTGCAACGTGACCCAGTATCTGCGGAAGACACACGAGATTATCGCCTACATGCCAGCTATCAAACCGAGTGGGGCAAAGTGTCGAGACAAATAGATACACAGGTGTCTGTGCATTTTTTTTTTCAAAATGATTTAATGTCTACAAGGAGACTATCGCGCTGATGGCGCACTGTCATGACCCGTTTCAGGTTTTTCTTCCCGGATGAAGAGCCGCCGGCACCAGGGATCCGTGCACGGTAAACAGCACTCGTCGGCCGCGGCTTTGGGGGCAACGGCTTTTCCCAATATTTAATAACTACCAGTTATTTTAACTACTTTCAAAATTTGAGGATTTAGGATTGAAAAAGGCGATCTATATGGTAGCTTCCAGATATGATTTATCATATCGTGACATCGTGGGCGGGTCAAATTTTCAACGTAACGTTTCAAGGTCAATTTATCCCTCGCCCGTATTGGTGTTTTGCCAGCCGTTAACTTAGGGGGGGGGGAGGGGTCCGTTGGACCTCCTTGCCGTTTGGCCCTTGATCGAGCTAGAGCTTCGCGGAAAAAACGAGCGTGTTGTCCGTGACAAGAGGAAGCCGATGATACCCAATTTTTAGGTCCTAGGCCATCGGCTGACCTTTCAGGTCAGGTCAATGACCCAAAAGTCGGGAAAATCGGGCTTGTTAGAACGTCGTAAAGCGTGGCTGCTATGGGTTCTTTTCGGGGTGCTGATCACGAATATCATGCTAGTTTTGAGCACAGATGATGTCTTCATGCATTTAGACCAGGTCGAGTCAGGTCAGGTCAGGTGAACCAGTAGGGGTCCTGCCGGGTATTCGTAGTATAGGTGTCAACCGCCTCTGACAGCTTCGTAACATTTTAGGAAGGTACCAAAGCTACTTCGTAAATGTTCAAACAGTTGCTAAATTCGAGCTCCAAAAATTAGCCTTGAAACATGTAAAACTTGAAAAAGTGAACCGAGATCATCGAAGGTCAGTGACCTGACCTGACCTTCAGGTGACCTTGACACACACCCTAATGCATGGGACCAACAGCATATCGCATGTTTGAACGCTTGAAACCACGGAAAGACTGCATACGCGCGGCTGATGCGTTCCGACATACGCCGAATCCCGATCCCGGCCAAACATGGTCTCTAAAAGTAGGTCACAGGTCAAAGGTCATTTGGGTCAGGGTCATGAAAATTTGAAGGTATGTGTAAAATTGAGTATCGTGAGGGTACTGAAAGTTTTGTCGCGATTGGCCGCTTTTTACGCGAGTTATTCGCGAAAAAAGCATGGGGAGTCCGTTCACCCCCATATACGGGCGAGGGTTTATAATTCATTCGACTTGTAATTCATTCGACGTGTCTTGGCGTCTGGCGAGAGAAACACTATGCTGGTTAAATATTTAGTGTATTTTTACCAAAGCAATAGCTGACAATGTTTCCCATAAAATGTCAATTTCGCCGATATTGTCAATTTTGGAAGCGAGGCTGATGACCTGAGCTCAAACCTGACGACTTATTTAATGAAAACTCATTAGGACGGCTACCGGCTGCGTTTATCTGCGCCGCTGAAACTCTCAGTTTACGAGTTGTGTCAATGTTCTCAATGGTATCGAAATCGGGACAATTTGACTTTTGATCTCCAGTGACCTCAGCATTGACCTGAGCGAAATATATTCTAACACTTGAAAGTACTCTGGGCTAATCAACATTTTTGCGCGCCTTCAGTTTGTTCTTTGATTTTGATAATCGGATTTGACAAAAAAGAAAGCCACCATCATACCGATTAGGTCTATATCGACTAATGAACTTGAAGTGTCACTGTTTTTGTGTTGAGTGCAACAGTGTCGACTCTTGAATAACATGGCCAGTAATAGATCTAGATGCATACAAGTCGATGCTGTATTCGAAAACTAATGACTGTAACCAGGGCCCTAAAACGCTTGCAACTACTAACCGCATGCAACCATCATTGCGAAGCATTTCATCCTGAATAAACCTTTTCTTGCTTAATAACAAACAAGCAATAGAAAACGAATAATAAATACCGGGCTTCTCAAAAAAGTTAGACGATTTTATAACTAACGTATTGAAGGGTGTATCAGTGTAACAAAACATAATTGGGTATCACCTAAAAGCCTCATCAAAGACATTTCGTTTGAGGGGATTTCGACCCTCGGCAGTCGCCTTTCTGAGCCACGCCGAGGTTATGTTCGAGATGATTCCCTTTTTGCTCGATGCGCAGTTTAGCCCGGCGCAGCGCGACCTCTGCTGCAGCACGACCCACGGAAAGCTGCAGACGGCACACCGCTGACTTCACTGCATCCTATGATCTTCGGAACTTTTTGGGTGGTTTCGGTACACCTGGGACTTGAGGTGGTCCTATAGGAAAAAGTCCGGTGGGGTTACGTTCGGAGAATTCGCCGACCACGGCGTGTCTCGAACCTCGAGATCACGCGCCGCCCGAAACGCTCCCACAGCCCCTCCCGGTTTTCTTTAGCGGTATTGACGGGGCACCGTCTTGCTGGAACCATTGGATCTTAAGCGTTTCCGGATCTCTGCTCACCCTGCAATTGCAGAACCCTCCAAAACGTCGCCAGAGCCACCCGATATCGCTGACCATTGACAGTCTGAGTAGCGCATCTCTCACACGAGTGGTGTTCGCCGTGAGCTTTTGATTGGGTTTATGGCCGCCGCTGTGTTCCTTGAATTGCGTGAACCTATTGTTAACACTTCCTCGAGCCAGAAACTTGTCAATAATGTGGAAAATTTTGTTTCAAGATGTTGCTCTCTTTGCCCTAAAGTGTTTGCGGATCTTCCGTGGTGTCGAACCGACCGACGTAGTCTGGGAAAGCATAATTTCACGAGTTTTGCTTTTACTTTCTAAGACCACGGCTTCATTTTTTAAGCTCAAATCATGGTGTCATATAAATCTACGAAAAATTCTCCGTTTTTCCACGTGCGTTGATTTTGCTTAAATGTTGTTAGGGGTCCTCTATTCGCAAAAGAAATCCGTCTAACTTTTTTGAGAAGCCCGGTATGTGCAAGCTTGTTTCCTTCTTATCATTAAGTAGTTCCTACCTTCCAATAGAAAATAGATTTGCGCCAGCCTTGCACCAGAAAATAGCTTTGCAACTTAGACAAATATTTGCATGTAAAAAGTAATAGTTGATGAGTTGGAAAAATGAGCGGACAGTCTAGGGAGCTTAAAGGGAACTTATGCACTAAGCACGTTTTTTTTTAACAGAAAGAAAATTGAAGGGAAATGTTATCACGTCTACACACATTATTCGTCGCAGAAGACAATAATTATCACATATACCTATAGGCAACCATAAGTCGCCACCCGGCCCGCTCACAACAAGGCCGTATAAGTTGCTCACAAAACTTCTCCTCTTGTGTCCATTGTCGATTTCCTTCCGTTACAAACAGTCTCAATCTTTGTCACACGTTCCTTACTACCGGAGAACTTTGGGCTCTTGTAATCCTTCCTTTAGATTTCAGCGCCACTTCGCTCCTGATCCACACTATAGGACACCACTGTTGCCCTTCCACGCTGCTGAAGACACCAGGCACTGCCGCAGATCGCGCGTATGTACGCTGACGGCCCGTGGCCGGTTCCAGGTTCGGCGAGCGGCCGACCTCCGCTCGCCGGTATCCCTCCAAGGTGAACCGCGGCGGCAGCAAGGTGTTCCGACCCGGAGCGAGTTCCAGTCGCTACCGCGGCGGCTGCGACGAGATGCCCGATACGCCCATGTCGGCCGTGCTGCAGTGTTCCACCTTCAGCGGCTGTCGGGCCACCTGTATGGATGGACACCAGTTCCCAAACGGCGAGAGTATGATCCAGATCCGCTGCACGGGGGGCGTCTGGAGGCCCCAGCCGCCGTATCAGGAGATACCCAACTGCGCGCGTGAGTCACCCCGCCCGTCTGCCGACGGAGGGAGGGAGGGAGGTAGGGATGGAGAGAGAGAGAGAGAGAGAGAGAGAGAGAGAGAGAGAGAGAGAGAGAGAGAGAGGGAGGGAGGGAGGGAGGGAGGGAGAGAGATAGGGAGGGGGATGGACAGAGAGAGAGAGAGAGAGAGAGAGAGAGAGAGAGAGAGAGAGAGAGAGAGAGAGAGAGAGAGAGAGAGAGAGAGAGAGGGGGAAGAGAAAGAAAGAAAGAGCATGTGTGCATCTTATGCGTGCCTGTGTAGTGTGTATGTGTTTACTGTTTTTCATATCGCAAGGAATTAGGTAATTCGCCATTGTTAGAAGGTTGGACACTTTCCGGGCGTGGTTCGTCGCTTCTCACACCATGTACTCTTGCAGCGGTTTGCCAGCCGGAGTGTCAGAACGGCGGCGTGTGTATTGGACCCAACGTGTGCCAGTGCCAGACGGGCTTCAGCGGGCCGACCTGCGAGGAGCGGCTGGAGCAGTGTAACGAGCCCAGACCCACCATCTACAACGCGCGTCTGCGCTGCAGCGACACGTGAGTCGGCACGGGGAACGCGCCGACAGTTACCGCCGCCGGCTCACACGGTGTAATGGGACACTGCGCCGACCGTGCGGCCGCTCCGGGGCTGAAATATGATCTTGCACAGGGAAAGTTGGAGGCACAGTTCGCATTACGATCACGCTGATAACACTTTTGGAGTCAATTAGCTTTTCCTTTTAAAACCCACTCATCGCGGTCACAGCCGAATCCTATTTTTTTCGCAGTCGTTGCTCGGTGGTTTGTATGAAGGGCCATGAGACTGCCGATCACCGGACCACGTTCGAGATCCAGTGCACTGAGGAGCTGGGCTGGACGGCGGTGGACAGCGCCAGTGACCCGATCCCCAGCTGCCAGCGTGAGTCGACAAAACTTTCAGAGACGGTTGGTGCAGCATAAGCGATGGGTAGTTTGGGGACGGTGTGTAATTTGTATGCAGCGGTTCTGAACGTATTTTATTTGTACTTTAGGATAGCGCCCGTATAATTGGGATCGCTGGTTTTGGAGTATGGCCGGGCCCCTAGTTATAGCCAAGGTAGTATTTCAGTTCGTTTTGAGACAATTCTCTCGATAGCTGTCGTTCTACGGTTCTGTACGCGACTGCAGTGCTCCGCGGTCCCATGCAGTAGCGTCAGTCTTACTGCCTGGGAGTTCTGCTGTGCCGCCGGACCGGTGAGCTCGGCGGCACAGTCTACCTTCCCGAGCGCCGCGGCGCCGCCGCCCGGCCTTACGCCGTCAGTCTCAGCCGTCCATGGACGGCCGTTCAGTCGAAGACTGAGGGCGGCTAGTTGGACATTTGGCGACGTCCCTGCTTAGTTTATATACATTAGCTTGTCATCAAGCATTTAACCTGAGTGCCCATAATTTTTATTTGTAGTAAGATCCTTTCACCTAATGACATTTTACGAGGTAACATCGGACTAAGACCACAGGTCCGTCACCGGGAAACGGTTGGTGCCGGTAACGAAACCCGTTTTAAGTCCATTATTTTTATATAGTTAATGCAAAAAAAAAAATCCCGAAACTCAGAAATATCGGTTACGGACGCGACCTTCATGTTTCCGTTTTAGCGAATCCCATGCCGGAGACTGAGGGTATTACATCGGGGGATGCTGAAACGACGACCTTTTTTTGATCGAAATCTGTGGCCTACGGCTGTGCCCTAAATAAGTCAGCATTGTAATAATGAGTTTACCTACTGTCTAACTCTACGGCACGTCACAATATACCTTCTACTTTTCAGCTATTTGTCGACCCAAGTGCCAGAATGGCGGCAAATGCATATCTTTCAACTTGTGCCAGTGCCCGAAGCAGTATCGCGGTCCGTCTTGCCAGTGGTGTGAGTATAAAATGTTAACTACGCAGTAGCTACGGAAATTGGCTACTGGATGATTCTTTTCTTGCAGCTCTTGTTTATTGAGTTACATAAGTTATCAGTGACAATCTGGAGGTTTACTAGCAGCAGGCATTGACAACGGAAACGCGTTCACTAATTGTTAATCGTTTTTGTAGTTCCGTCCTTCCTCTTGACCGTGTATTATTATTCGGTCCAGCCGTGGAGAACTGCAACCCGAAGACGCAGCTCAACTTTAACGGCGCGTACAACTGCTCTGGGCGCGGCGACCAGTTCGGGTGCCAGCTGTCCTGTCCAGAGGGACTCGAGTTCAGCTCCCCGCCGGCGGCCATCTACCAGTGTGACTACAGCACGGGCCAGTACAGCCCGCTGCCGATCCCGCAGTGTCAGGGAGGTGAGAGCTCATCGTCAGTGTTTGGGTCGGATGGAGTGGGAACATTATCAGATGGATAGTTCATAGCTGTGTTGACCTGTGCATTACACAATATGCATGTCATTCATCCGTGGCTTCCACTTGCTGATATTTTCGTGCTACTTTCGCCGGCAATTGAACTTTTAAATATACCCAAGGCAGACGCGCTGTTAGATTCCTTTACATAAATTAGCGATATCTTTTTTCAGAATACGAGGTGATTCCGCCAACCACGGCGACTTTTCCAACCCGGGAGACGGACCCTGAGCCGAGGGAATGCGCTCTCTGGTCCGGAAAGCACGTGAAGACGTTTGACGGTCAAGTATACAGGTAAGAAGGCACAAGTGCAATGGGTCACATAATGCTCTTTTTATTCAGGTTCCGTGCATTATCCGAGACATCATCTGGATTGGCGAGTTTGCCAAGTCGTCTGTGTAATTTTCTTCTTCTCCATTTAGCGACATTTCTCTGTCTGCAGTTTCACTGGCGGTTGCGACTTCACGGCCGTGCGTGACGCGGTGACGTCCCTGTTTCGTGTGTCGGTGGTGCGCGGCTGCCAGCGTCCCGACTGCGGCTGGAACCTGCGACTCACCGTGGACCGTACCGTGCTGCTGCTGGCGGCTGGTGATGACGGCAGCGTCACCGTCACCGCGGTCAGTACGGAACACTGTCCGAGTCGTACTGTCAGTGCGGAACACTGTCCTAGTCGTAATGTCAGTCCAGAACACTGTCCGAGTCGTACTGTTAGTACGGAACACTGTCCGAGTCGTACTGTTAGTACGGAACACTGTCAGAGTCGTAATGTCAGTACGGAACACGACACAGTCACGGTCACCTGTCGGTCCTGATACTTGTACTCTGCTTCTTTAGTTTTGCTTGCCTGTTCCATTGTGTGTAAGATACTGCTTTCAACTCGTTCTCCTTGGTCATGTCAATTGTCCAGAGAGTGTTCTGATTTCATTGTCAACAATCAGGACTGTCGTGCGTCATTTCACTTTTTTCTGCGCGTTTTACAGGAGCAGGGCCTGTACTCGGGCCAGCCGACTGCCGTCACGGTGCCCTCCGAGGTGGACGGGCTGGTGCTGGAAAAGGAGAGCGGCAAAACGGTCATCGTGCGCGCCAGCAGCATCGGGCTCACCGTGCGCTACTCAAAGGTAAGAAGACGACTCACCGCGCTTTACTCGTGCTGAGTACCGACCAGCGGGCTCAGCACGCGCTATTCACGGGTAAGTAACGCGGGTGTAGCCGAACGGGCTGAACGGGCTCAAAGACGCTGAACGTATACCTAACAAGAGACAGAGGCCGAAGCAACAGATATGGGTTCATAAGAAAGATAAGAGAAGTATGTATGTGCGTATATTCCCCCCCCCCAAAAAAAAATGATTAAAGGATGCAAGGCCATCATAATGTCATTCGCAAAGGCTGTACTTAGCACCTTGCTCACCACGTTTTCCCTCATTCAATATAATCGGTTTCATCGAAGAAAATCCAGAACAAACAGTCCATACGTTATCTCTGAGTGTGTGTGCTGTGTTGCTGCTGCCCCAGGATATTATCGTTTTGCCTGCCTCTGACTATATCGTGTGCTGTGTCTCTGGTGCCCCAGTGTATGATTGTTTTGCCTGCCTCTGACTATATTGTGTGCTGTGTCCCTGCTGCCCCAGGATATGATAGTGCTGCATGCCGAGTCGTCTCTGTGGTCCACTGTGCAAGGTCTGTGTGGCAACCTGGACGGCAACAGCTTCAACGACATACTGTCGGACGGTCTGCGCGGCACGCTGGACTACTACTCCAACCTCGGTTAGTGGATAAAAAGGTTATTTTAATCTTTTTGTTAGTGCTTTATGTGGTCTCTTCCACTTTAAAATGATGAAACTATATCGATAAACTGTACCTAAAGCAGGGTATTTTGCTTTTTTCAACGAGTTTTTTTTGACGAAGCATATAGGTACCTACATTACGACTGAGGAAGGTAAAAAAGGTCGACAGACTTTGACTAAGAGAAACATACATTTTTCTGAGTTATTATGCCATTTAGGATGGCATTTATATAGTTGGTCATGGTCAAATCTGTTTGCCGTTTAACATCTATATGTTGAGTTTTCCTCCGTCTTTTATATAAATCTCACACCGAAATTACTAAGAAATGTTCATTTAAAGCCTACATATGCTCAATACTCACGCTTTGTTTTGCCGTTGTTCGCAGAGCTGTGTCCCGCCGGCCCCGTCTCCCTGGATCTCACGTGCAGCGGCGCCGCCGAGCGTCAGGCGCGCGCAGCCTGCTCCCAGGCGCTGCAGCTCGCCGATGTGTTTCTGCCGTGCCAGGAGGTAAGAACTCATCCACAGTAATTGGCACAGACGAGGGCAGCTCAGGACTAAGAGTAGGGGCGAGTCTCCATTAATTTGTTTTCCGTCGGTCGCATTTCGGTATAGGTGGATAGCAATGCTGACAATGTCACTGTCGTGTCTTTCCCCAGAATGTGGGCGTGGAGTACTTCCTGCGGGCCTGTATGGCCGAGTACTGTCACAGCCTGTCCCAGGCGAGCTCGGCCCCGGGAGGCTACTCGACGGGCGGCGCGAGCGCAGCCATCTGCTCCACGGTGGCCGCTTTTGCCGCCGAGTGCGAGCGCGTGACGTCACGCCAGCTCAGCTGGAGGTCGGAGGAGTTCTGTCGTGAGTACCCAACTAACTGACGTGGCTACCCGTCATGACCCGTCATACATACAAGACAGCACTTAAAGTATCCAAACAAAAATTAATCAGTAAATAAGGCACTGGACTAATTAACAGACTAACTCGAACACTAGTAAGTACCATGGCGATTTTTAACGGCTTTAATATCACTGAATATCGGTTGTCATGATTTTTGGCCAAGAGGTCTGCGCCCAAGCTTGCGCCTTTATCAGACCATTGACACTGCGCAAATTCAAATGCTGTGGTAATGTCTGGCGTGAAAGTATTTTTTACTTCGGTCCGAGGGTCGCGCCTGCCCCGGGCCCGGCGTGTCCCGGACGGGACGCCGTGCTCTGGCGGCGGCGGCCCCCTTTGAACGGCGCCGGTCAAAACAGGCCGGGCCGCGGTGGGCTGGCGAGTGTGTCCGCCGATCTGCAGTCGGGCAGCTGGCCTCTGAGCGCGCCGTCACCAGTCGCCAGTAGCCGCGCCAGCCGTAAATACCGGCAGATAACCGAGCCGCCGTACCCTCACCGTTCCCAGAACCGGCACCAATATGGACCGACTATCGTCTCTAATTAGTCCAATTTTCGGGTCATGTTTCGCCAGGCGCGCGAATTAATTAGCTTTTGGTACATTCCTTGGATCGTTTGCGGCCCTAAATCGCAAATCCCGCTGGTAAATATTGTCATTCCGATTTAATTGTAAGTCAAACATATGTTGACATCAGATCCTGGTTCATGCCTCTTCGATGATGATTAGTCATTGGAATGCGGTGGTATGGACTGGTGATGTTTTACCAGCCCCAATGATTTCGAGCTGGCTTCCTTCTTGCTAGCCCCTATCAGAAGCCTTGAGATATTTGAGATGCCATTCAAAGTGTTTGATACCGCAGGATGACTAAATCATATTGCTTTCCCCTTTTTGAATACTGAATGCAGTATTGGTGTCCTGCGCTTTTATCTAAAAACGTACTGCGCTGAACGTTCTTAGCGAGAGGATGTAGTGATATCCACGCATTGTCGGTGAATGGTGGATTTCCTTAGTTACATTATTCTACTTTTTATAAGCTTTGTCGACCCTTGCATAGCACAATTATATGATTTCATAGGCAAAACAGATGATACGACAAGTTCACTGAGAGCCTTAAGGAAGATAAACTTTGATGCGCGACTGATCATGACGTTCCATGACCATTGACCATCCGGATGTGGTACCTAAGACGGCGTTCTCCGCTGAAGTTACATACTCTTATCGAAATTGTGATGATATTAAAATAACTTACTCATTAGTGATATCCTTTTGCGTTTTGGTCATAGCTCACTTCCGACCCATTCGAGGTCAAGGTCGAGCCGTGTTCGCATTCGGTGTAATCGGTGTGCATGCAACCAAACGGCCAAGGCACGTGCCATCTCGTTTATTTATAGGCATGTGTATGCAAACCTGAGCATGCTTTTTTATTGCCGATGTTCCCTTCGTTGAATATACAAACTAAGCTTAGCTCTGTTTGCTATCCTTTCGTCAATCTTCGGAGGCTGACATATGGTGAATATCACAGACCCACACGCATACACGTGTTTCGTCCACCCACGCGCAGCAGTTACCAGTTCTGTCGCTGTGTCTGGCCGCCCTGTCCCGCTGACCGACCTCCCGGGTGTGTCCGGCAGCGCTGCCCTGTCCCGCTGACTGACCTCCCGGGTGTGTCCGGCAGCGCTGCCCTGTCCGGCCGGTCAGATATTCAGCGCGTGCGGTGTGCCGGCGGCCGGCCGGTGCGGCGCCTCCGTCTCCGACTCGTGGCTCTGTGAGGAGGGCTGCGCCTGCCCGGAGGGTCTGCTGATGGACGGCGACCAGTGCGTGCCGGCTGAACAGTGCTCCTGCCGCCACAACGGCGTCCGATACCAGGCCGGCGATACCGTCCAGCAGGACTGCAACACTTGGTAATCTATCACGGCCGACATACAGTGGTGTAGCCTTATGCACATATTGTACTCTACAACCCCAGAAAGTGCATGAAATTGCGTCCTAAATTTTATGTGGCTTTCACTGCCGTAGAATTGATGTTCTCATTCAAGTTTACCATACATATGTAAAAAAAGTAGTAAGTACCGAACATTCTATTCTGCACTAGTCGGACTCGATTTTGTCTGTATCGACCTCATGCATTGACAATCGGTTTTATAAGGCATTTATAGCTTCACTTCTCTCCTATCACGTGATGCTTTGATGCGATGAAGTCATAAGATGCAGCAGCCATAGGTGATCCATTACCCTATGTTCACCTTTGATAGTTGGAAAATTCATGCTGGTGAAAAGAGCAGTGATTGGACTGAGTGACTGCGTTAGACCGATGCCGGAGCTAACCGTTGTGTTTTTCCCGGACAGTGTCTGCACATCTGGCGAGTGGAGCTGTACCGAGCTGGCCTGTCCGTCCCAGTGCGTGGTAGCCGGCGACCCGCACTACCTCACCTTCGACGGACTCCGCTACGACTTCCAGGTAAGGCGATAGTGGTGTGGGTGAATGACGCCATTAATTATTAATAAAATGCGTTAAATCAGATAGAATTATTTCAGTGAGCTACGGGCGTTACTTGGCTTGGTAAATGTTGTACCTTGTCTTCGTGATGGCCCTTCTTAGGGCATTGGGTTGTGGTTACGCGAAAGTTGTGAGCGGAGCTGATCGGCATCTGAGTATATTGCACGATTATCTTATAATGTACATTTTTAAGGGTTCGTGCTTCTTTATTTTTGTTTACAACAACAGCAAACACTCGTTGACCGTCATTGACATTGGTATCTCTCGCCTGTCTTCAGGGCAAATGCAGCTACTACCTGGTGCAGTCGGACCGGTTCAGCATCCAGGCAGAGAACGTCCCATGCTCGGGAGCCATCTCAGAGGTGAGCAGAAACGGCGCCCAAAGCCGTACAAACGGTCCGGCGAGAGGACTGACCTTGGATAGATCTACGTGGGGTGAATGAAAAGTTTTGAGCCTAACATAGTTACAGGTGACGCAGATTAATGAAAATTTGGTCACACATTTTGCAACTATTTTTAGGTGTGTACACCAAGTTTTGAAGTACTAGTCCTTTTCGTTTCGTTTTTAGAGCCCATTAAAGTGAAGAAGATTACGCGTTCGGTGAAAAGGGAGAAAATCGAGAGCTGAACTTTTATAAAGTATTGCGATTTCAAAGCCATGCCTTCATCTGAAATTAAAAAGGACCTGAAATTAAACTTATTGGTTGTGGCCCATCATATGTCACTGTTAAGGTTTGAGCTGCTAATTTCAAGCAGGGCAGGAACAGCGTCCAAAATGAACAAATATCAAAAACGCCGTAGAATGTGACAAAATCCGAAAACATTGACCCTGCTCTAGGGGTGTGGATGCTGGATCAAAGACTGTGACCTCATCAGATGGCGGTAAGAATGGACATCTCCCAGGAGCAAGCTGGCGACATTCTTACCAATTGGCATGACATGAGAAAGGTCTCTGCTCATTGGGCCTCTCGGCTTTCTGCTGCAGAGCACGACGAGAGATGTGTAATGACATTTGGAGCTAGTTGAAGCAGATTCTGAGAATTCAAAGTCACTTTTCGCTACCGATAATTAACTGTGGGTGTTTCACTTCAATCCAGCATGGGAAGAACAGTGGAGTCAGTGAAAGAACGTCTCTACTCTAATCTGAAAAATTAAATGTCAGAGTCACAACATGGAGGAAAGTGTTCCGTAATTCGGAAAATAAATGAGATGTCTTGTAAGTGTACTTTTTTCAAAGGGTCTTACTGTAATTGGGCATTACTAGGATGAACCACTGATACACCTTTGTTAGAAAATCAGGAAGATCAGAAGGGCAATCCTGACAAAATTGGTCGTGTTTCACCAGGACAATAAATCAGGGTATTTTTCACTGGTTGCAATGTAAACAATCAATTACTGAGCCTTCCAAAGTATCCCAAATTTAATCTTTTAAACAGCATTGGCATCCTTAGGGTGTCTATTTCTGTCTAAACTTAAAGAAAAAAACTGACTGGATGACGCTTCACAAAAAATAATGACGTCATTGACACCGCGAACACTTACCCAAAATAGCATGATTCAAGGCGCTATAAAAGTGAGGAAAAAAGTGCTAGGACTTCACAATTTTGTGTCCATTCATATCAATAGTGGCAAAATGTGTGACCAAAGTTTCATTAATCTGCGTCACCTGTAACTATGTTAGGCTCAAAACTTTTCATTCACCCTACGTATACCAAGGCATGTGTGATGTTTATTTAGTCTCAATGATTTGTCGCCCGGTGTGAGACATCGGGAACTGCGTCTGCCGGCAGAAACTCAACTACCACCCCTCGACGCTGCCCGGCGAGCCGTCCTGCACCAAGTCGGTACGGCTCGAGTACGAGGGCGTCACCGTCGACCTAAAGCAGAACCTGCAGGTGCTCATCAACGGAGAGACGCCGCCCATGATACCGTGGTGGGTGGACGGCGTCTACATCAAGTACGCCTCATCGCTGTATATCTCAGGTGAGTTGGACGTTAGATAAGTCGTCATCCTCTGCATTACACACAGAACGCAATACACCGGGGGGCTCATGCACAGAAGACACATCCAATCTTTTTCTCCCATTCTGGGGTCAGGCGGGGTCAGCTTAACCGTTTGTCAATAGTCCGTAAAGCAGCTTCTCTGGCACACCTTGAAATTTAATGAGCTGCCTGCTCAAGTGACAGAATGTCACTGGTATATGGCACAATTCCTTCCAGTGCCGAGGTCTAATTGTCACCTCATAGTTTCTCTACCCCCAGTGACACTGTATATGCTACCCTGAATGACACTGACCCACTGCTACCCTCCAGTGACGCTGCCGAACGGCTTGGAGGTTTGGTGGGACGGGGAGACGCGTGCCATCGTCCACGCGCCGGCCCAGCTCGGTGACAACATCCGCGGCCTGTGTGGCAACAACAACGGCAACCAGCGAGACGATTTCGAGACGCCAGAGGGAGACATCGAAATGGTACGTCCACAGTCGATTCCATGCGAGACAGAGGCGCGAGGATTGATCCTGACGAAAGAAGATGAAGTGAATGATTTGAAAAGAATGAAAATTCTTAGAAATACAGGACTATAGAAATGAAAGAAGTCGACATTATTAACTGCTTCAGCAGCATGCCGGAAGCGAGTCGGCAGCATCCATCAAATAACAAACCTTTCTGTTGCAGAGTCCGATTGCGTTTGCGTCCAAGTGGAAGGTGGATGAGACCTGTGACGATAAGACGGAGCCCCACGGCCACCCGTGTGAGGTCTACTCAGAAAAATACGGCGAGGCGTCGCGCTACTGCGACAACCTCATCTCGCTGCCCGTCTTCCAAAGTAGGTGCAACGCAAGAGGTTTATGCGGTTCGAACCAAGGATTCACTGAGGATGAATGCAAAGATGACGGAGCAACTGTGAAATGTATCTTATGGTCTTGTATACGAGTAGATCTGTCAATGTTTCTAACGCACCGAGAAGCTCTATGTTTGGACTTGTGTTTCATTTATCCATGGTCATTCCAATGTTCTCCTTTGTCTAGTCTTTTTTATAGGAATAACCCCCTCGGCTGTTCACAGAGTGTCACTCTGTGGTCGACCCGGCGCCGTACGTCAAGAACTGCGAGTACGATCTGTGCAGCTGCCGGGCCGAGCTGGCCGACTGCTACTGTGTCCACCTGGCAGACTACGCGGACGCGTGTGCCGCGCGCGGCGTGGAACTCCTGTGGCGAGCCGAGGTCGGCCTGTGCGGTAAGTATCTCCCTCATTCCTCCCAACACACACACCTCCATCATGGCGGGCTGAGGTTGGCCTCTGCGGTAAGTATCTCCCTCCCCTCCCTTCTCTGTGACACATACCCAGTGGCGGGCCGATGATACCAGTACCCTAATTCAATACATGGCCTACGGATAGGAGACGACGGTACTAGCACGGCCCTAGCTGTGTCATTTTCACCAAACGGCTGTGGTTTCCGAGTGGGTCCTCACCGCGCGCTCTGGTGCCGGTCCGGCAGGGAAGGGTTGTCCGTTCGGCCAGGAGTATCAGGTATGCGGCGACTCGTGCGGCCACACCTGTTTCGACCTGGCCACGGCCAGCGAGTGTGAGCGCCGCTGCGTGGACGGCTGCCAGTGTCCCAAGGACCAGGCGCTGGACGCCGACGGCCGTTGCGCTCCCATCAGCAGCTGTCCGTGCGTGTACCAGAACAAGGAGTACCGGCCGGGCCACCGGCGCTACCAGGGCGCCGGCGCCTCGCTGCAGCAGTGGTGAGTTCTGATGTCACCCCTACCCCGCGGTACCGGTCAGGAGTGACAGTGGTGTGTTCTGATGTCGCCCCAACCCCGCTGTACCGGTCCTAGTCTCCCGACCGGCACTCGGTATCATCGAACTGCTGATGATAAGGCAGGATTGCTATTTGATGATTATTCCGAATTCTGCATCACAAAGTGAAAAGAAATGCCAATATTTGTGAAAACAATTCATTTATCTTTCTTCAAATATTCACTTGTCCCTGTCGTGCTTTTGACAGCGAGTGCGTCAACGCTCGCTGGCAATGCGAGCTCTCCAAAACTGAGAAGCTGACGGACAACTCTGGCAAGTGTAACGCCACGGCGCACATGCTGTATGTGGACTGTCTGCCGGACCATCCCGTCACCTGCAAGGTTAGTTCACATTGGCAGTGCAGTTCGTCATTACAACGCGTGATTCAGCTGCTGTTTAAGTCCACTGCTCGGGGTTTAAGGGCGGGTTGGAAGTGTCGCATACGTAGTTTTAAAGCCGCTGCGTATTGTTTTACACCACAGGTGAACTTAAGCCTAATGGTGGATGACTAGGGAAATTTGGCCGATCATAGGCCCAACCAATTGAACGTGGTTACGGCAAATGGAAGAAGGGGCACATGATCGGATTGACAATGACATGCCAGCTAGTACCATGTAAGTCAGGCCGCAGCACTGTCGTTACCCCGCCGTCGCCGCCCTGTCCACAGAGTCGGCACAGCTCGCGCGCCGAGACTTCCAAGTCGCTGTACCAGGTGTGTGAGTCGGGCTGTGTGTGCGCCGACGGCTACGTGCTGGACGCCAGCTCGGGCCAGTGCGTCACCGCCGACCAGTGTCCGTGCCACCACGGCGGCAGGGCGTACGCGCACGGCTCCACCTTCGGCACCGAGTGCAGGTCATGGTGAGTGATCCGGTAACCCTCCGGGTAGGTGGTCTGGTAACCCTCCCAGTCACAGTGGTTTCTACTAGTAGGAGCCACGAGGACAATTCGCCAAGCTTGGTAACAAGTCACCCACTCTAGATACTAGTGGGATTTTAGGAGAGATGCAGAAATAGGTAACAAAAACACCGCTCTTTTGTTTCCATTGCGTAATGAAAACGATAAATTGTTACCTGTTCACTGTTCAGCACTGAATTTATGTTGGAGAAGAGTGGCTTATTTTCAGACTTATTGCTTGTGGCGTGAGTTCACTGTGGGCCTACACAATGCCCCAATGTTGCTGTCTGGTTGCTCATCTGAACCAACCACGAGACACTGACACGACCTTTTCTGACCGGCCAGCACGTGCGAGAGCGGTATGTGGACCTGCGAGGAGCAGGCCTGTGACGGCGTCTGCACCGCCTGGGGCAACTCACACTACGAGACCTTTGACGGCCGGATCTACGACATCGAGGGCGACTGCCAGTACCTGCTGGCCAGGGGCAAAGAGACCAGCAAGGACCAGTTCGAGGTCGTCGTCACGGTGAGTAACCGGGCGGCGTCGGCAGGGACTGGTGAGCACTGCTCCGCCTGTGCGAGTCGCAACGATGTGCTGGACATTAACTGACTTCCCGCTGTTTTCGTGTTCGTGCTAAGTGTTCGTAGGATGTATCGTGTGGGGCTGGCTGCAGGTCTGGTTCAAGTTGTGACTGAATGTTCTATTTCTGTAGAGTGTAGAACGTGCCATGTGAAGCCGGCAGCTCCAGGTCTCGCTCTGATTGTGACAATACTCGTGTGCTGTGTTTCCGTAGAACGTTCCTTGTGGCGCCGGCAGTACTTGCCCGTTTCAGGCTGTGTCAGGGTGTTCTGCGTCCCCAGAACTTCCCCTGTGGAGCCGGCAGCATCTGCCCGTTTCAGGCTGTGACAGGGTGCTCTGCGTCCCCAGAACTTCCCCTGTGGAGCCGGCGACACATGCCCGTTTCAGGCTGTGACAGGGTGTTCTGCGTCCCCAGAACGTTCCCTGTGGAGCCGGCAGTACCTGTCCGAAGGCGGTGCTGGTCCGTGTCGGACACGGCACCACCCAGGAGGAGATCGCTCTGGAGGCCGACAAGCCACTCCCCACCGCCTTTGAACTCACTCGGTAAATAATTATGTTTAACCCGACCAACGAGCGTGCTGATTGGTGTTCACAGACATCGTAGTGCTGTTGAAACTGGCGGAAACCGAATTTTCATCCGTTTTTACATTTTTTCTTGTTCTTCGCATGATTCATTTGAGCCATCTGCTATGTACCGATTGTATGCACTCGGGTGTATGCTAAGTGCGAATGCCTCACTGACCCCGCCGGCCTGTTTTAGCCTGTCGGTTCGCCAAGCGGGGGCGTTCGCCTTCGTGGAGGCACCGAACCTGGGTCTGGTGGTTCAATGGGACTACGGCACCAGGATTTACATCCGACTATCATCCCAGTGGAAGGGCAAGGTAAGGTCAACAGATCGAATTCCGCTCCCGTCCTAAAACATATCGTGTGTTAGGGCCGGGGGAGGGGTGCGATTGTCACCTCGTTTCGTTTATTCGTTATTAAAGAATTTTGGTTGATGTTGAGGAAACGTGCCTCATTACGGGCACACAAATATAAAATTCGGGGGTGGGACTGACAGGTCATTGGCTGAAGTACACACACATTTTACTTTGTTATGCAGTGCACAACTGAAAACCTTCTGGGATATGTGATTAAGCCCATCTCATTTTCAGATGCAAGGCCTTTGCGGCAACTTTGACGGGAACCCCGGCAATGACTTCCGCGGTCCGTCCGGACTTCTGGAGAACACGGCAGTGCAGTTCGCCGAGCAGTACAAGCTGCAGCCCTACTGTCCGACCACGCAGCCCATAGTGGTACGTACTGAGTAACATAAACTGCAGCCCTACTGTCCGACCACGCAGCCCATAGTGGTACTTACGTATTACACAGTGCTGCTACAGCACGAACTGCATATTCTGCTCTAGTGTGTCGCGCACTGATCAATATAAACTCAACCGTAATGTCCGATCACACAGCTCACAGTTTATGGTACGCCAAACAGTATAAACTGAGGCTTGCTACCCAACCAAGTAGCCTAGTGCTGAGACTAACCAACTACAAAGCCGCCTATCTTTCCTTGGAAAAGGAAGCACAGTAACGTTCGATCCCCCTCGCCAGGACTCGTGTAAGCTGCACCCGGAGCGGCGACTGTTCGCGGTGCGCCGCTGTGCCGCGCTCAAGTCGGCCGTCTTTGGTGACTGCCACACCGAGCTGGACGTGGAGCCGTTCTTCGAGCGCTGCGTGCAGGACACGTGCGCCTGCACGGGCGGCGGCGACTGCGAGTGCCTCTGCACGGCCGTGGCCGCCTACGGCCAGGCGTGCAGCCGGAAGGGCGTGCACGTCCGCTGGCGCTCCAACGACCTCTGCCGTAAGTGGGAGCTGATCTCGGACCGTCACTTTAGAGGACGGACAATGACCGGCTCAATTGACAATGCACAAATATCTGCTGATTATGCTTAACATTTTGCGGGCAGTGAAGGCTGCGTTTTTCGCGTTTATTTCGTAAATTATTTATAAGAAAATGGTGTGCTTCAAATTATTCACGAGACGTTTGCCATTCATCACAGTACCAACATTGCGGACGACCTGCCGCTCGGCGGGTGTCGTTTGCTGGGCTGGTGCACCTTGTCCTTACCGTCTGTCTCCTCCGACCCACAGCGATGCAGTGCGACACCGAGTGCTCCCAGTATAGTCCGTGCGTCAGCGCCTGCCCGCCCAAGACGTGCGAGAACCGCTACATCTACGAGGACATCACCGGCATGTGCGCCGACGACACCTGCGTTGAAGGTAAGTACACACCCACTTCGCTGGGGTGGCTATGTTCTGTTGAACTATTGTGAGTAATGCGACACGTCTAACGTCTACATTCAACGCTTCATGGCCAGCGGCTCACTGCATGTAATAGTCTATCAAGTGGTTAAGCAGTATTTTTATGTGTACTGTACATTCTGCCAAACATAATGCAAAATCAGGGGACTAATGCCAACCACGTTCCTACTTTCAGCTGGCTGAGGCGTTCTGCTTTCGCGTGCTGTTATCGCACCAGAACTATTACTGACGAGTCTCCCGCTGTCTGTGTGTGCGAACAGGCTGCCAGCCGAAGCCGTGCCCGCCGGGTCAGGTGTACCATAACGGCACGCTCGACTCCTGTGTCAAGGAAAACGACTGCAAGACCAAGTGCGCGGTGATTGGCGGGCGTCAGCTCTACGAGGGTGACGTCATCACCCGGGACGACTGCCACGTCTGGTGAGATAGTGAGAGGGCCAGGGGAAGGAGATTGTGGCAGAAAAATGCGGACAGTGTGTCAACAAGCTTGAATAGCCTATTGAACGTATAAATGATAAATACACAAGTTGTGCACGTATGATACGTAACTAGGTGGTATCCATGCATGTTCGCTGAAGTCGTTGAGATCACAGTGTCGTCATTGCTCTGTTGTGCTCGTGTTTCAGTTACTGCACCCGAGGCCAGCAGAAGTGCCGCGGCAGCCCGTGTCCCGTGGTGGTGACTTCGGAGCCTCCGCCGACCGAGGAACCGCCGGTAATGGGGCCGACGAGACGGCACCGCACTTTATGAATAAAATGATCTTGTCTTGCTTACTTAACGCTGGCAGGCTGGTATTCTCATCACTTATTTGTAGCCATAGCCCCGAGCTGCGGTCTGATCAAGTGATCCGATACCGCTCTGATCAGAATCAGAGTGCTCTGATGCTGATAGTAGATAGGTTGATCACGCCGAGGTAAATGAATTTTATTATTTGAAGCATATTTAGTATCTCAAAGCATTCTGGGCAGAGCTGACCGTGTTTCTGTTTTGCAGGCGGCGCCGTCTCCGACCAAGCTGGGCACGTGCCGGGAGGGATGGAGTACCTGGGTGAACCGCAACAAGCCGATGGCCTACACCCGGCCGAGAGACGTGGAGCGCATCCCCACCTTCATCGAGCCGGTGAGAACCAGATGGTCTGAGGGAGGCACACTCGCCAAAATTTAAGCCCGAGAACAGTCGGCTAATTCTGGCGGAGCGTCTTGTCATATTCCATCTGCTGTGACGAAAAATTGCCGGGCAATCAAATCTTTCTAAATTTCTAACATCTAAACTTCTAACATCTTCTAAACTTCTAACAAAAACTTCTAACATCGACTGTGCTTAAAGTCTTGACAAATGTTTTAATTTGAATATGCCAGACTTTGTTTGAGTCTGCTTTGAAATGCGCCGCTGAAATACGGCAGTCGACATTGAACTATACCCGGTTCAACATCCTTCGGTCCCTTGCGCCGTTTCAGGTGGACAAGGCTGACGCTCTGCAGGCTCTGGTGATCCTTGTGCCGGGCTCGAGCAGTAGTGTGAGCGGTAACATCACCTTCGTCCAGAAGTCGGCCGACCAACCGCTGCAGATCGCAGGTAACAATACCAGTTCCTCATAAAAACTGGAAGAACATGGATTAAGCTTTTTGGGAATGTTCTCTTTCGTGTCAGCGATAAACGGCCATTACGGTATTTTCTGGCTTAGTTTCGACAAAGTATTATTTTTGTTAGAATTTTGATGTAAGAACAATGGAAAGTGCTCTTTTCTGAAAAAAAAGAGATTTGACTGAACCTGAGTTACGAGCAAACGTATACCAGCATCGTACTTCGTATACCAGCTGACCGGCTTTGACGAAGTTTATCGATAAATATTGGCTTACTCAAGCTATCCACCGTTCCATGCTTCTATCCTCAGGATACGGAAATCATTCTCCTTCACGCCGCAACCCCCCTCCGGGCTGGACAGGCAACTTTATCTCATGCGGGCTGCTCCCTTAGAGCGGCACCGCTGCTCCCGAGGGAGCGCACCCCGTAGCCGGGTGCAGTGAGTACCTTGGGGCTGGTCGGCCTGTCCTTCGGGATGGGCTCAGCCCCGGTGACTCACTAGGATGCCTGCCCAGACCAATGTCTCCCCCTAATTCCTATCATCCTTCCGGCTCTGAAATGGTCTAATTGGACCGAAAGGGCCTAACCCAACAAAACAAACAAACAAACAAGCTATCCACAATCAGTGAAGCTCCCAGACAGTGTGCTCGTCCGTTTGCCATCTGCTCACGCCGGCTTTTGACCCGCAATCTGCTCGTCCCGGTGACAGGTGAGGTGGAGGGTCTGACTCCGGGCAGTCACGGCTTCCACATCCACGAGACGGGCAGCACAGCCGACCAGTGCCGCGCCGCCGGCGGCCACTTCAACCCGCTCGGCCTGCCGCATGGCAGTCCCGACTCGGCCGCCCGGCACATCGGCGACCTGGGCAACATTGTGGCCGACAGCTTCGGCCGCGCACAAGTCAGAATCAGCTTACCGCCCGGGAAAATCGGGTAAGACGGTCGGTCACTGGAAAGAAAAAACGACGCATGTCGCTTTGGCATGCTTTTTCATTGTTAGCGCGATTGAATATATCAAGCTCGGTGACCTTTAAATGAAGGATGCTATTTTATGGCCTTCAGTATCTTCGAAGATAAAGTGACCATTTACAAATGTTCGGAAAAAGTGACAGACCGAAACATTTCATTGACTTATCGTTTGGTGCTGGTCGATATTATTATATGTATTGACATTTTACGGACAAGAGTCGAGTGTTGTCACCATGCTGCGTCACTCGGCTCGGCGCTGTAACGGCTATGCGTCTCCTGCCCGGCAGCCTGTTCGGCGACCAGAGCGTGCTGGGCCTGGCACTGGTGGTGCACGCAGGAGAGGACGACTTGGGTCGGGGTGCGCCCGGCTCCGGCACCGAGCTCACCGGCAACGCCGGGCCGCGACTCGCCTGTGGCGTCATCAGGGTTAGTGGGCGACGGTTCAGTGGTCGGTGGTCAACTACCAATGATCGCAGCCTGACGGTGGTCATTACCACTGGCTACTAGTTGATTGATCACCATTGGCGAGTGATCAATCACCAATGGTCGTTGATGGTCAGCTTCTCGACGAATTGATCAGGGGGGATAGCTGTAGGACGTTAGTTAGTTTTGGTGACTTTGAGTGCAAAGGAGTACTCTGTCACATCCTAAGCAGTCGCAGGCACTCCTCCAGCCCACAAACCACGACGACAGATGACTATTGAACGGTCAGCGGACACTCAGCCTCCGGGCGCATAAAAAGTGACCATATTTGTGCCCTCAGAGAGCGTACGACGTCAGCTCGGGCGTCGGATTCTGCGCGGATAACCAGGTGACGGACGTGCGGTGTCGCACCGCCGGCACCCACCTGCTACCGGTCGAGACGGGCGAGCGGGTGCGCTGCTCCGTCTCTGAGGGACTAGTCTGCGACTCGGACTTTGTCTGTCAGGACTACGAGCTGCAGGTCCTCTGCGACTGCTGTGAGTTATGGGACGAGTAGCATGCCCCCTGGATGGGTGCTCAAAGGCGAGGGTCTTGTGACAATTGGTAGCTGTGATAAGTGATCAGTCTGTGTCACTCTAACGTCCGATGATCGTTCGTGATTTATAGCGCTGGCTCGCTGACTATCTGTGACTAGTGATTTCGTGTAATTCCTCTTCCCTGTGGTTGCACCGGGAGATGATTATTGTAATTGTTTATCCCGTGTCACTCCCGGCCTGTAGTTGGGACACATACCTTAGCAAATACACCAAACAGTGCCCCGACTGTAACCTAACATCCTAACCACTTGTTTGTTTGTGCAGCTATCCAGGCAACGGAAGAGCCTCCTCCCGTGAGCACCACGCCGGCGCCGACCCGGCCACCCAGCGAGTGTGCCGACGGCTGGACTGAGTGGATGAGCGGCCACACGCCCAGCGCCGGTGACTGGGTACGTGGATACTCGCCTAGGACACGCGGCTGGTGGTAGAGCCTTATAGCATGCTTATTTGGTAATGTTTGTGTGTAACAGAATGTTTTGTAATGCATGTAGCTGACAGTTTCAGTCCTTTGGTCACTTATCAGTTATCACCATCCTGAGACTAGATGTTGTTTGGCGTGTCTAACCGTATTCGTTGATTTGTCTGCGCCGTGTGTGGTTGCAACATTTTTTAGTTCAACATGGATGCTTGTATGTAGCAAACTCAATGCACTAGCTGATCCGCATGCCACAAATGCACGTATAACGAGTACGTTTCCCACAGACGGACACTGAGGATGCGCGACAGCTGCGAGAGTCACACTCGTTCTGCGAGGACCGCTTCATTACTGCGATTGAGTGCCGCACCAGGCTGGGAAAACAGGACGTGGAGAACACGGGCACCGGCGCTATCTGCAACCTCAACGCCGGCCTGGTGTGCTCAGACGCCCTCGGATGTAAGATAACTGACCTACTGTCAGCTCCCTACTGTCTACTGTGCACTAGGTGTTGTGGTGTGTGGGTGGTGTGTTCTGCTTGCATGTTTTGTTTCCTGTTTGCTTTTGCAAGCCTACATATTGTTCCTAAGCCGTCTGAAAAGATGCTTGAAACGTGTTTAGCTATTGCTTTGAGGATACACTGCGGCAGCGCAAATGCTTATGATTAGACAACGAGCCATACACTAAACACTCAACTCGAAAATTCAACTTTTATTGAACAGTTTTGGCACATATATTACTGTGCTATTCAGTTTTCATGATATTTATATGCCCAGTTATTCTCTGTAACAAGCGGGTCCTGTTTCAGATTGTCCGGATTTCGAGGTGCGGTTCTTCTGTAACTGCGACCACGTGAAGCCGCCGTCAGTGGTGCCCCCGGTGGCCGACGAGAAGTGCTCGCCAGTGGGCGCCATGTCCCCGCACCTGAGTGACTGCCACAAGTTCCTGCAGTGCGGCGCCAACGGAAAACAGGTCGGTCGATGGTGGGACCGAGTCACGCGAGTCTCGTACGGTCACCGATTTCTGCAGGCTATTATGTGCTAATTCGTGGCAGCTGTTTTGACAGCATCCAGCCAACATGCTTCGAATGCATGTAACGGGTTTCTACAGAACATCTGTGTTCATCACTTTTCCGTCGCGGCTGTGCCCCCGAACCCTTTGCTGTCGCTCTGCGGTTGGTATCACGCCCTCTCCGTCCGCAGGTGGAGATGAGCTGCAGCTCGGACCTGATGTTCCACCCGGGCACCGGCACCTGCGACTGGCCAGCGGAGGTGATCGCCGTGCGGCCAGAGTGCGACGAGGACCACGGACGCTCCATCAGCAGCACACCGCCGCCGGGTGAACACTGTGACGAGATTCACCCTGTGCGCGCCCACCCAACCGACTGCCACGCCTACTTCCAGTGTATCCGGGTAGCCACCGGCGAGCTGACAGAGGTACAAAGACTGGGAGACAGGAAATCGGGTAGATAAAGGATACGGAGGGATAGGAACAGAGAGATAACATTCGGAATGTCGGAATGAAAAAGGTCGACATGACTTTAGGTCACTGTATTCAAAACTTAACATAAAAATATAATGCCCCGTAAAAGCGGCTACGTAATTGTGCAACCTAAATTTGGCATGGATCAGAAATAACAGCGTCATTTTCGGATGTCTTGTTGCAGATCATGCAGTCTTGCGGCAAGCACATGATGTACAACCCCAAGACGATGACGTGCGACTCCGTGGCTAACGTTCGGGCGCTGCGCGAAGAGTGCGCCGCCGCTCCCCCGGGTTAGTGCAGCCAGTAGTTGACGGCGGGTACGGGGACCCGCAGTTGCTACTGTACACGAACCCCAACTCTAGCCGTCTGTCCTGTCCAGTAACAACCGATAACATTGATGTCGACTGTACAAGAGCAGCTGAGGTTTTCTGTGCGTGCCCTCTGACAGCTTATCGTTGTTCCCTGTGAGGGTGCTGGGACAAATTACTCAGGGTCGCTGTACAGTAGCAACTGCGGGTCCCCGTACTTCCCGCTAGTGCCTGAAATGTAATACGTTGCGTCTCTAAAGGCGTATCCTTTGGTACCTACTACCTAGTGTCTATCCCGGCTCAAGGCACCTGTGTAACTCGCAGACTGCTGATTGTCCGTCCTTTTCTCTGACAGTGGTTTGCCCACCAAACGAGGTGTACGATGACTGCAAGATCCGCTGCGACCAGCTCTGCCACTACTTCGAAGGCTTCCTCGAGGCACAAGGATTCTGCAAGGTGAAGGAGCTAGACTCGTTGTAAATGTGATGTGTCCAAGATGTTGAATGCGGTTCACGTGTTATTGCGACTCTTCATCGAAAACTGTGCTGGGAAAGGTCGGGTTTATAAGAACGGTCACCCCGTGTAAATAATTTCGCTCCGTAGTATTTTAACTTATCCGGTGCTTGGACCTTGGGGTAATGGCAGCTGTTTATCTACGAAATGAATGGAACGTAGCATGTGCTAACCTTTTTACCAATATTGCTCAATGTGAAATCGAATATCTAAACTTACATCGTCTGGTGATATTTGAATAATGTTATATTCTATCGACTCTCAACTTTTTTATCGCTCGCCTGCAGATAATTTGCGTCAGGCGTGATGTATGTGATGCAGGCACGTGCTCTCGCTGAATGTGTCCGCCGACTGCTCCTCAGGTGAAGGACGCCTGTAAGCCGGGCTGCCGGCTGGCCGGGCTCGGCTACCGCGGCTGCCCGGCCGGCTACGTCTGGATGGACGACGAGCGCTGCGTGCGCACCTCCGAGTGCAACTGCCGGCTGCCCAACGGAAAACCGCTCGGCGTCAGTATACACTCAACGTCCGTCCCCCATCACCAGACCCACCTGTACTACTTTGCCTGATGACCCTGGTCTTATATGTTCTACTCGATGTTTCTTTGACTTAGCTCTAGAGTTTTGGGGGCTTTTAACAGCCCCGATGTTAGTAGTGGCCATTAGATATTACCCATCCTAGAACTTTTTCGTCATGATGTTAGATTTAAAAGAAGCCTTAGCTGTCCAGCGACGGGACCGTCAGAGGGCTCAGGTAGGCTATGTGGTGATGTTTCCATTCAAGTCGCCGGCCTAGAGGGCACGCTAGTGTTGCACCGTTTTTGATGATCCAGTCACCGTATGGTGTCTGATGTCTGGGGCTGACCGGTGTGGACCGTTTCTGTCGGTGGACTGACGGTCGTTAGGATCACCTCTGACGCTGTTCTGATGTCGCTGACAGCCGGGCCAGGTGCAGACGGCAGAGGACGGCTGCACTCAGATGCAGTGCGTCGATAACTCGGTGGTGTACGACTCCAGCGGCTGTCAGCCGACCACACCGGCGCCGCCGCCAAGTGAGTACTATAGAACCAACGGAACCCTGGATAACCACACCGGCGCCGCCGCCAAGTGAGTAATACAGAACCAACGGAACCCTGGATAACCACACCGGCGCCGCCGCCAAGTGAGTACTACAGAACCAACGGAACCCAGGGGAGCCACCCCGTCACCACCGCCCAGTGAGTAATATATAGCAAATGGAACCCAGTGGAACCACTCCGACACCGCCGCCCAGTAAGTAACACGGAACCCAGGAAACCACACCGACGCTACCGCACTATAAACACATCCCAGGGAACCACACTGACGCCTCCGCCCAGTGAGTACAATACAATGCATTATGAAACTGGTGGAACCGTCCCGTCACCTCCGCCTAGTGAGTACATAAGAACGGCTGGAACTTAGTATCCCATCACCCAGCAAACCCAGGAGAACCAAAGTAATACATTGTACAGGACCAACGCACCATAGACCCAACGGCATCGATACCTTACACAACAGTGGTGTGCGCTGTGTTCGTGTGACTCTGCGCTGACTCTGTGTCTGTGCGACGGCAGACTGCGACCTCTGGGGCGATTGGATCGACAGCACCAACCCGACGGTCGGTGACTACGAGGCCGAGATGCTGCCCTGGTGGGAGAGCTTCTGCGACGAGGTGAGTCTTTGAATCACCGCTGTGCTTCTTTGGTGGCCTCAGTGGGATGGGGATGACGCTGTCTATTGGACAACTACGGATAAACGTAAGGCCATGATCTGGCAGTCAGACACATGTTGGATTTGAAATGGCAACACCCCGAGAAAAATCTGAAATTCGAAATATAATGCGACCCTAATTTATGGCACGCGTTACCGGGTGTGCAGGACGCGCCCTGACCTGGTGTCGTCTGCAGGGTTACCTGAAGGAGATCGAGTGCCAGGTGGCCGACACGGGCGCGCCGTACGACACCACGCCCGACGTCGGTGTCACGTGCAACATAAACAGCGGCCTGGCGTGCAACAACAAGGCGCAGCCGGACGGGCGCTGTCACAACTACCGCATCCGCTACTACTGCTCCTGTGGAGGTGGGTCGGGGCACAACACTAGCACTGCCGCTGAAAACGCTGCGAGTCGTGCATCACTAGGGTATTCTGGGGTAGACTGCTGAGTGCTGACTTTGTGCTGTGTGAGAAAAACACCGGTTTTTCGTTATTCAAAGCTGTTTGACTTGAATGTTACACACATAAACGATGGACTGATCCGTTTCATTTGTGTCGTTACAGTGGACCCGTCTATTACTACGCCAGCGCCCGAGACGACGCCTACTCCGACCGGTTCGTTTTGCCTTTACTGGTGTAGGGGTGGACGCATAAATGAAAGTGCTTTACTTTGCATCATAGTGTCTTCTAATGGTTCCGAAAGACTTAGCTACGATTTACTATAATTTTCAAATATCCTAAGTTTGTAGTTAAATGTATTTTCGCTTTAATGCCTTTAATTTGAATGGTGGGAGGAATAAGAATGAGTTCCGGGCCCCGGTTGGCGGTTGCCCACAAAGCATAGCTTGTGTGATTCCACGGACATACCACCCGACCTGTATGGTATGGTCACATACAGGTCACATCGTCGACCCTACCACCCGACCTGTATGGTATGGTCACATACAGGTCACATCGCCGACCAGTCGGGTGGTAGGTATGTGACCATACCACCCGACCTGTATGGTATGGTCACATACAGGTCACATCGCCGACCAGTCGGTGGTAGATAGATCCGTGGACCGTGGTAGGTCCGTATCGAACAGCTCTCGCCCAGCTCACATTTCTAATACGCATAGAAATCGTAAATAATTTAACGTCGTTAATGTAATGATACCTGACTTTCTCCGGCTATTTGACAGCATTTATTAATTCGCACTCGTGTTTTCAGAGGCCACGACGCCAACCTACCCGACCATCGTACCTCCCGAGGATTGTGATGTGAAACGGTAAGTTTTTGTCCGTTATAGCTTGGAGCAATTCGCCAATTTTAAGTCATGGTATGGTTTGGTATTGTGATTGACGTTTCGCGTAAGCATTGGTTAGGATTAACAGAGCCAAAGTGCGGCTACAGTCTATAAATGATCAGCTTTTACTCTATTTACATTACAACCACATCCGAAATACTAGTAGATGCGTTTTTTTCGCGCACAGTCAGGTTAACATAAGGCTTAATGGCTCTGACCGTTGTAGGACGATTTTCGAATGCGACACGGTCGAAAATTGTCCAGCTTTCACTCTGTCAGGCCCACTGCAGTGTCTGCCGTTCACCGCACGAATGTGACGGAGCGTGTCACCCACCTTTCCGGCAGGTTCATTCCGCTGGTGTACGGAGAGGAGCCGCTGTCCGACTCCAGTTTCACAGCGTCGAGTTCAGCCTCTCCAGAGGCGGCGCCGGCCTTCTCCAAGATCCTGGGCCAGTTCCAGGACGGTGGGTGATTGGGATAACGGTCTCTTCACTACTCATTGTCCAGCTCTTCTACCAAACACGACCTTCTCATTATGCAGAAGGAAGTTTACACTTTCACTTCACTGCCAACTAGCCCACTTTCGTCAGACATCGGGAGAACCACAGTTCATGGTGTCTTTATTGTGGCATTTATCGTTTTCGGTGCCCAATACGACTGCATTGGTGATTTGCTGACATGGACCTTCCAAATACTTAATTCCCAGCGCAGAGCGAGATTTTCGAATTAATGAGTGCTGACAATATTCGTTACGTAAGTTCCTTATTAGGATGTTAAGTTTAGGCCACATCGAACTCTGAACTTACCGTACTGACGGCTGACGGCTCTCTATCTGGTCGGTCAGCGCGCCGCTCGTGGATGCCGGCCGAGGACAACCAGCGACAGTATCTGCAGGTCGACCTGGGCTCACCAGAGCCCGTCTACGCCGTCAAGGTGGTCGGCAACCCGGCGCTGAAGGCGGCCGTCGTCAAATTCGAGCTTTGGATCAGCGACGACGGCGAGGACTTCCAGCCGCTCACCAACCAACGAGGACTGCCGCAGGTGAACGACTCTTCCACTCGCTCTCGCCCTCTTTTGTTTCTCTCTCTCTCTCTCTCTCTCTCTCTCTCTCTCTCTCTCCCTCTCTCTCTCTCTCCCTCTCTCTCTCTCTCTCTCTCTCTCTCTCTCTCTCTCTCTCCGATATACGCGGGATGAATTAATTATACATTCAGGTAGCGCTCTGTGTTGTTATCCTGCAAAACCAAATACCGATATAGTTAGCATTGGCATGAACATTACTGAGTGTACAACGTGCATGTTTGCAATAATTGCTTATTTTTTCGTCGCTGATTCGCGTCTCACACTGTTGCACAGGGTCTGAAGTCGATCAGCGCGCTGACGGATCCCCAGCCGGTCATTCTGCCCACGCCGGTGACGGCTCGCTACGTCCGCGTGGTGCCCAAAACGTGGCAGACACGCATCGCCCTCAAACTGGAGGTGTTCGGCTGCAGCGAAACCACGGAGACTCCGACTCCGACACCTACTCCCACCGTTATCGTCACCACTGTGGAGCCGCCGCCGCACTGCGACGAGCAACAGTGAGTGTGCCGGCGGCCCGCGGACGACGAAACGGAATGGGCAATAGTGCGTGCTACTGTATCTGCATCTGTGTGTATCTGTGCTCGTTACCATGGGCCTGCAGCTGCGTCTGTGAGGATTCTTTTGCGTAATTGGCGCAGCGTGTTTTATGTAATGGCTAGGAACGCCATACATATTGAGCTGTAATTTGGGCGACAATGAAGGCGTTATCACAGATTGGCCCCGTTTCCAGGTTCATCTCGCTGTTGTACGGCGACGACCCGCTGCCAGACTCGAGTTTCTCCGCCTCCAGTGTCGTGGGACCGGCCATGGCGGCCAAATACGTCAAAATCAAGGGATCGGCCGACGACAGTGAGTGATGAAACCACTGGCCACAGCTCGGTATGGGAAAGACGAGTGGAACTCAGAGCTAGCGGTAAACATTGAACACAGCGCAGCACTGACTGACAATTTAAGTTATGCATGCGTCGATGATGATGGAATGTCTTCATTGAAACAGGGAACAGTCTGCCGTTTATCTTGCGCATGTCACTGCTCAGGAGTTACCGTTTATTTGTTGTTTGTTTGCAGAGGTGCGCTCGTGGACGCCCAGCAACAACGACCAAAACCAGTACCTCCAGGTAGACCTGGGCGCCGTCCAGCCCGTGTACGCCGTCACGGTGATGGGAAACAAGGCCATCGCCTCTACCGTCACAGAGTTCGAGGTGCTCTACAGTGACGACGGAACCATCTACAGCTACGCCGTCAACCAGATGGGACAGCGAGCGGTGAGCGATGATCTAGGAAAACCCAGCTGTACTAACAATGAAATAGCGTGTTACGTTTTGGACATGTTATGTGTGTGATACGGTCGGTCGCTGGGCTGGTGAGCACGGTCGTTTTGTTTTGTTCGGCAGTCTCTCCGTGCTGTGGAGCCGCTGAGCAGTGCGCCGGGCAGGATCATCCTCCCTGTGCCATTCGAGGGCCGATACGTTCGTATCCACCCGACCGACTGGACGACGCGCATCACCCTGAAATTGGAGATATTCGGCTGCAGCGAGGCCACGCCCACCGAGATTTCCACCACGCCCACGCCGCCGCCGCGCTGCCTCGAGGAGATGGGACTCGAGAACGGCCTGCTGGATGACTCACTCATCACGGTCAGTGTCGGATCAGAGGAGTGGATTTCCGAGATGTGATGACTCGTCGTGAAACTCCCATCAACAAAATGTTACAGGTAGAGGAAACTTAGCGAATGCAAACAGCAGAGTAAAACGTTAACAGAAGAATGGGGCACCATAATGTAACGGACCATCTTTGGCTATGCAAGCCGATATTTGCAAGTGTGAACTCACGTCACCATTTTTTTTTTTTTTTGCGCAGGTGTCGTCGGAACTGTCCCCAGAGCACGGCGCGTCTGCTGTGAGGCCTGGAGGCGCCGGCTGGATCCCCAAACAATCCAACAACAAACAGTACATCCGGGTGAGCGAGGACATCTATATCATGACACTGGGCATGTGTCATCATTATCAGCAGCAGCAGCAGCAGCATCAGAAACAAAATTACATTCGTCTCATATCACTGCATGAATTGCCTGATTCCGTTCGTAGGATGTGAGGCTTCATTGCCAATACATGCATATCCTATCTACGAGTATGGCGATATAGGGGATCATTCAGTCATGTGTCACGCTTACCTTGCTACCCTTTCCTCGCAGGTGGACCTGACCGACGAGCGCACGATAGACGGCCTGATCACCACGGGAGTGTTGGTCAAGGGCCAGCCGGTGCCCGGCTACCCGGGCCAGTTCGAGCCCGACGAGACGCGCTCCATCGGCTCGTACCGCGTGCGCTACTCACAAGACGGTGTCAACTGGATCTGGGTGTACAACAAGAGCGGACGCGTCAAAGTGTTCCCGGGACACTCCGAGGTGAGGAAAGGATATACTGGGCCGAGTTAGATCGAGTAAGCAAGCCTCCATATAGATGTAGATTTTATGTTGACCGACGAGCATTGGAACACGCCGCTCGGCAGCTGGCTGACCGGCTGTGTTCGATTCGCAGAGGACGGCGCTGTCTCCGATGCAGAATGTGTTCGAGCAGCCCCTACACGCCCGGTTCGTGGAGATCGCGCCGGAGACGTGGCCAGAGGACGGCATCGGCGCCACGGTCGAGGTGCTCGGCTGCTACCACCCGTACCGTAAGTATAGACTGCTACCACCCGTATCGTAAGTACTGGCTGCTACCACCCGTACCGCAAGTACCGACTGCTGCCATCCGTACCGTAAGTTGATCTGTGCGTCGAATTGAGGGGTTTAAACAACAAAATGAAACGTGTTTAATGTGCTATCAGATAAACACTAAACGGTTAATGTATATCTTTCTGGAGGTTTGCTAGCATTTCTACATGATCAAGCATTGCAGAAAGTCTGAATATTTTTCATTTTCCTCGGTCTTAATTATCTTCAATTCCAGTTAGCTGTAGGTACTACTGAGTTGAAACGTATCCTTACCATTGCGCAGCTGTTGTGACGACCACGACGACCACGGAGGCGCCGGACGTACCGTGTCAGCTGTGTCCCGGCGTGCCGGCCACGGCTCACGAGGGCTGCGAGGAGTGCGGCCCCGAGCGGTACTGGAACGGTACCGGCTGTATCGCCGGCACAGCGCTCTGTCCATGCTTCTACAACGGACGGGCGTGAGTGGACAGTGGCGCAGCATCGGGGGAGGGGTCACTCATGAGCAGCGTCCTTGTCATCGGTCTAATATAGCAGATAGCTGATATTACGTTATTCGTTGGATCATTCTTTCGTTCAATCGTTCATTTTTATTGTCATTTAATCACCAATGCACTGCGCACATTATATAGTTATGCATAATTCCGTGCGTGATATGCTGTATTTCCAAGCCTAATTGCGTCCGTGGTAAGACATTCCTTGACCGTCCTGCCAGAAAGAGGATAGGCTACGTGCAAAACTGCTACATCTGGTGTTCACTCAAAGAGCGAGTGGGCTTTACACGGGTACCCACCGCCGCCTAACTATCGGGTTAACTTTTGCGTTCTGTCTCAGGTACGAGGTGGGCTCGCTGTTCGACCTCTCCAACTGCCAGGAGTGCGTCTGTGGGCTGGGAGGCGAGCGCACCTGCGACCGCAAGGACTGTCCGCTGTGCGGCGGGAACCTGGTCTCCCAGCTGTCCGAGAGCTGCGACTGCCAGTGCAATCCTTGCCCCGATGGTAGGGAGGCCGGAGGGTACCGTGTTGAAGGGTGTGCTGTCTGACTTCCTTTGATAAATTAACTTATCGCTAGTAAGAGGTCGCATGCACTCGCCAAGTTTGATGAAAATTTAGTTGTAATTTAACCCTTTTCTGTGCTGAGATGGTTTGCCTAACCGTTGTCCCTCTCCGTTTTCGGGAACTCAACCGGACTCACCGGGCTACATGTGCGTGCCCTCACGTGTGCGTCACCTCCCCTGCTCTCAGGCACCCGCATCTGTCTGACGAGCCGCACCTGTCTGGAGGAGGAGAAGTGGTGCGACGGCGTCAAACAGTGTCCCGACGACGAGGGCGACGAGTGTGACGAGACCACGGCCACCACCACCACCACCACCACGACGCCGGCGCCGCTGCTGCCGCAGTACTGCACGCTCAAGGGCAACACCTTCAACACGTTCGACAGCGTTGAGTTCAAGTACCAGATCTGCCACCACACGCTGGCAAAGCGCGAGGGCATTTTCGACGTCACTGGTGAGTGAGCGGGGTGATGATGATGTCTGTGGTGGAACGGTGAGATGGTGCCGTCACCGATGAAAGAGCGGGGTAATGACGTCTTTTAGAGAGCAGGGTGGGAAGAATCGCTCCGTCGTTCCGTCTTATATAAAAACAGCTATGGCTTGCCTTCTCAGTAGCTGAACAGTCTATATCGTAAATGCGTTTCATTTGGCATGCAGGCGTAGAAGTTCATTAATGGTTTGCGAAAAAAAGACTGAGAATGTATCCGATACTCCACCGATCGCTATACGTAATTAGAAGCTCAGGTTCAGCTGATCATTTCTATTTTTAGCTTTATCCTTATTTGTGACCGCTGTAGTAATTGCATATATGTCTGTGTGTCGGACAGTCCACCGCGTGTGCAACTCCGAGTGCCACCGCGAGGTACGCGTCACCAGTCTGGGAGAGGAGGTGACGCTGGTGCCCAACGTGGGGGTCCAGTACGGCGGCTTCTCCTACGACCTGACGCAGGCCAAGTCGGTGCGCTCCAAGCTGGACGCGTTCGAGATCAGCGTGACGCCCGGCGGCAGCATCCTCTTTAACGCGCCGCAGGTCGGATTCGCCGTCATCGTCAACAACATCGGCAACGTTGTCGTCGGCGTGAGTTCTCACCCCCAGGATAGCGTTTTATTGTGTTGCGTGCCCGTGCGTAGCGTAACGCATGTTTGAAGCGATCTCGTTCCTGTTTGTCAGCAGTATACCTACATTATACATATAAATAGGCTGAAAGTCAATCATGAAGAACCAAAGCTGATGCGGAACGCGCCATTTTTCATATACTGAAATTCGTATTTCACGTCATTCCCTTCCTTTCACAGCTGAATAACAAGCACGCCGGGGACGTGGAGGGCCTATGCGGTGACTTTGACGGTAACCGGTACAACGACAAACACAAGCCGGACGGCACGCTGGCCGTCTCCACAGCCGAGTTCGGCGACAGCTGGGCCCTGCCGGGCGAACAGGAGACCTGCGAGCCGCCGGAGAAGTGTCAGCACACACAGCAGGCCTTCTCCATCTGCCAGAAAATCAGGTAAGGCGGGCGGGCGACGGCGTCCTGCTCCTACGCGCCATATCCAGCCGTGTTCATAAGAGTGTATTTTCAACATTTGACATCATATATTTTAGTGAAGGATGTCTTGAAATCCAAATTGAGGTCCCTGTATTATTGCCATTACATATCATCATTACCACAGGGTACATTTCGATGACACACTAGACACTACCACTCATATGCCGTTAGTGCTTTGGTTTTGCACCAAATATTTCGCCCCATGGAACCTCGAAGTCGCTTGGGGCTAGCTTTCTCCCATTCTCGATGAGCTGGCCAAATACGCTGGATTTTGATGAAGAAGCTGGTGGAGCTACTTCTGCGTCTACGGCTGAGTCCGACTCTTCTGCCGGGCCAGACGCGCGTCCTGCGACACACCCAACGTGATGGGGACCAGCGTCAGGAGGGGCTGTGGCGAGGATAGCGGCGGAGTTTCCCCGGATGATTGCTATCGAGACTCTTTGTAGAAGCCAGGACACTTCTCTGGGGTCCTTAGTCGCCGCAGAAATCCGACCGCCGATATCCCGGAGCAGCTTTGACCCTGCTTCTCCGACTACGCCGGTAGTCTCCACTGCTACTGGAGTGAAGATGTAGCGGTCTGCAAGACTGGCGTAGCGCATGCGCTTCAGGTTCTCGGCGGCGGCTGCAGCTGCGCCGGGATCCACTGCACACTTCACCACGTGTGACTCAGCAAACGTGTCAACGCATGTGGCGTCCCATGTGAGGCTTCGACCGGCACTGAAGGGGAACGTTGTCAGTCCGTCGGGGCGCCTTCCATCTCCTCTGTCTAGCCCCACAGGTTCTAAGACCGATGGTACGCCAGCGCTTGCCAGTGCTCGTTTAATGACGTCATTTAGGGCTGCGTGCCGTGGGAAGCGACCGGCGCTCTTCTTACATGATAGGCCGTGGTGTCCCAGCCTGTCCACAGGGCATCCACATAGCTTGCATTGGTGGGGCTCACAGATGGGCAGGCCTAGTCGGAGGGCTACCGCTATACGAATGGTCTCGTCATCAATGTACAGTCCCAGGCTGGGGATTGGAGGTGCTTGCAGCCAGGCTGCAGTATGCGGCATACAAGCAGCACCGAGACGAGCGCGATGTATCTGATTGGCTCCGGCGATCAGGCGGTTAGCGGTGACAGTTGACGCGATGTCGTCCCAGGTCTTTTGGAGGCTGGCCGCCGGGCGTTCTGGAACAGTCTCGATGCCAGTTGCAGCCATGAACTGCTCCGTGGCTGGTTGCAGTGCCGCTGGCTCAGGGCCCGTGAAGGTTGAAGGGCAGATAGATAACACCAGCGGTGCTGCTGCGGTGAGAGACGACAAGTAGCAGGGCAGAGCGAGAGCGTGCACGGAGCGCACGCCGAGCCCGCCATGCCTCTGGGGCAGTGCAGCCTGCTCCCAGGCCTCGTCTGGCAGTGCCACGTTACCAACTTCCTGGAGCGTGAGACGAACTGTGCTGTCGATTCGGGATAGCTCTGCAGTCTCCCGATAGGCTGGCGATGAACGTAGGAGATATTGCACTCGCGGGGCAGCTACGTACTTCGATAAGAAGAACAGAGCTGTGTGCCGATCGAGGAGGCGGAGTCGACTGCACAGCAGTTTGATAGTCGTGTGGGCTGATCTGACAGAGTCGCCAAGCCCAGCCTCGTGCAGCGGTGAGCCGAGCAGTGTGAGCTGTTCAGGAGGGGTGGTTTTGATGCCGGCGAGGACTGACGAGATGGTGCTGATGACGCTCTGGCCTTCGGCTGGAGTGCCACCGATGGTGGTTAGCTCGCACTTTGATTTGTTTAGTTCTAGGCCGAGCTTTGGAAGTTCGGTACATAGAGTTCTAAGGTCTTCCTCCACTGTTTCCACTGGTCCTGCAATTGTGGCATCATCCAAGTACCATAGGTTCAATGGAGACTTCAGGGATCGCGCGCAGCCATCCACCACCAGAGCGAAGAAGGCTGGACCCAGTGGATCACCCTGTTGGACTCCACAGCTGGACAAGATGACGTGATCTCCGAAGTGGAGCGGCGATGGAGCGCTGTAGGCTTGATAGGCAAGCGGGTATACCTCTGGGCAACGAGTTCGTACCGCATTCAGCATCTGGTCTCTTCTGACCGTGTTGAAGGCATTGGATATGTCCACTTTGATGACCGCTGTCGGGACTGACACATCAGAAGTGAGCACCTCACGAGTGGCGTGGACAGCCGCCTCGCAGCCGAGGGGTGTGCCAACACCCAGCTGAACTGGTCTCAGCTCTGGGCCGATGATGCTGGCCATGTGATGGGCTGCCATGCGACTAGCTAGTCGGCGGTAGACACTACCGATAGCTATGGGTCTCAGCCCTCCATCCTTCTTCCTTAGGGCGCAGAGTGTGGCTCCGAAGAAGCTGTCCCGGGCATGATCCGGTACAGCACCTCTGAGGGTCATGTTGATAAGATTCGTGATGGATTTTAGGAGCCGTCTTCCTGGCTCGGTGGCTTCTGCCGAGGTGAGCTGCTTTAGGTGCATGGGTCGTATTCCGTCCAGACCGGCTGCAGATCCCGGGGGCATGGTCCTGATGGCAGCCTGAACCTGCTCCTCGGTGACGGTGAGGATAGGCAAGTCCGACGTGTTGGGTGCAGGAGGGAGGACCTCGTCAGCGGGCACTGGTGGATGTTTCTGTTGCAGAACACTCAAGACCTCGGGAGAAGCCTGAGTGAACTCTTCGGTAGACGTAAGGATGCGGAGAGCGCCTTTGATGTCTTTATCTGCGCATTTCCCATGGACTCTGCGAGCAACCGAATCATCACCGGTCTCGCGACCAGGCAGGGTTGACGTCATAGATGTCAGCCGTGCAGGTGGAGGACACGACTGGTGGTTAGCGTTGATGTCATTGATTTGCTGCTTGATAGCGCTGACGATGGAAGACCGTCTGCCCTTGTTGGGTGCTCGAAGAACCACAAAAGCGAAAGACAGAAATCGCGACCATGTTTCAAGGCTGGATTCTGAGAGAGCTGTGTCTATGATGGAGGATAGGGCATCTGCGACAGAGGCACGAGCTGCCTTGGGAATCCGCTTCACGACAGGACAAGAATCACGCAGTTTTGCCAGTCTTGAATGTAGTTCTGTAGGCGTAGAGCCCTCGGGGGACGGTGACGGTCGTGTACCTTGTGTAATGGTATGCTGTGAGAGCTGCAATCCGAGGTTGACATGGTCTGAGCGACAGTTCCGGCAGTGCCAGACCGGCAGTGTCTGCGCTTCTTTGACCTTCAGGCCTGCGCACGCAGTGCGCCATCGCGTGCCACATGCGGAACAGAGGATGGCCGCCTTCCTGGCCGATAGGCTGGTACAGCCACCACAGCTGCCCGCAGACTGAGAGCCCGAGCTTGGAGGCCCGCTGACAACGGCTTCTGAGAAGGCGCAGGCCATGCTTTCCTTCGAATTGCGAACGCTGTGTCTTTGGCGTATTTCCCGGACAGTCCATGAAAAGGATCATTCGTGATCATCTCTAGGTGGAGGCCGATCTGTTTGCATGTATTTATCTTCACTTGTTTCTGCCGAAGTGGCAAGTGGCAGTGCATTGAAATTAACTGATAATACGCTTTGATGATACGCACGAGAATAACCGTGAAAAATCAAGAACACGTGAAAAGTTCAGGCAGGCTAAATTATTACGTTTGGGCGCAAAATATTACATTTTTAACTGCATATAACTATCCAACCGCTCACAGTTTTAATTAGCAGAAAGTATCTAAATGATCTACGTTAAATTACGAACATACGGTACATATTTTTACCGCATAACACATCCTATTTTAGGTAAAATACACCAAATCACGGAGCACTGTCAAACACGTCTAACCGTCTAACTTGTCACTGAACACAAACCAAGGCCCTATATAGAAGGTATGCTCATTAGGCCGAAGCAGCGATTTCCGTGACGTCACAGGTACGAAGGGTCGGACGGCTGTAATGCAATCCTATGGAAAATGACCCAACTTCAGGGCTCTCCCACATAGCTGCCAACCTCGACACTAAGGTAAAGTTATATCACATAAAAGCTCAAATCAAGACGAACAAGAAACCTATCTGACGTTTTTACGTATTACTAACGGCTTAGACTCTATTCAAGTATATTCAGAGCTCTGCATCACCTCACTTTTTCTGCCGTCAACGCCACTACAAATGTCTAGTCGGCGCACGTGCGCTTGTCGAGCGGGGACCACCAGTCGGGCGATTCAGAGCTGCCGCCCAATCAGAACGCCGCAATGCCGTGACGTCATTGGTCGCACACGACACGTTACGGAGATAGGGATGAGACAGCCCTGAACACAAACAAGTTGTTCATAAGATGATAATCCAGTTATCTACGGAACCATTACTTTTGACACTTCCTGTTACAAGTAAGTAAATACACTACTAGAAGGTTACTAGACTTAAGCTAACGTTACAACCGCTTGTGTTACTAGTTATGCGTGCCTTCTGATGAGTATGTTCCAGTCCATACCCCTGTACTGACGTATGGATCTTGGTGTGCAGGCAGGAGCCGTTCTCGCGGTGCCACATGGCCGTGCAGCCCGACTCGTTCATCTCGTCCTGTCTGGAGACCACCTGCGACTGCCTGGACGCCGGCAAGGACGCAGACAAGTGCCGCTGCGAGGCGCTCACCACCTACGTGACAGAGTGTCTGAGCCTGGACCCGGCCATCGAGCTGGACTCGTGGCGTACCAAGCACCAGTGTCCGTCCGACTGTCCGCCGGGAGAGGTAAGTACTGAGTACCAGTGTATCTTCGACTCTCCGGCCTCCGCCGGGAGAGGTGAGTACCAGTGTCTCTCCCACCAATGTCCCTCCGAACTGTCTGCCAGGTCCGGTGAGTATGAGTAGTAAGTATCAGACAGGCGGGACAGTCCGCTGGTCCATTGAGCTATGCCAGACTGCTGACACCGTCCGCCGGACGAGACTGTTGTGGAGCTACCGTGCGATAAAGACGAGCAATAATATCCACTTGGAGCTCTCAACACGGTTATTCGTGGATATCGGTGCAACAATTACCGCAGCTGTTCGCCTTTCCTGAGGTGTACCGAGACTGTTATCATTACCACTGTGTTTCTCTCACCGTCAGGTATACCGGGACTGCTACCGGCCGACCTGCGAGCCCAGCTGTAATCACCTGGATCCCTGTGACATCCTGCCCGACATGTGCTTCAGCGGCTGCTACTGCCCCGACGGACAGGTCCGCAGCAACGGACGCTGTGTCGAGCCCGTCGAGTGCGACGACTGTGAGTAGAAGTAGCTTGTTCATCTTAACGATACACACAGCAATGTAATCTAATTAGCGTAGTAGGCACTTTGGTGAAGACCGATAAAGGCTGATCGAAAAATGGAGGCTTATAGCTATAGTTATGAAAAGCACGCTCTTTCAAATATTCCAATTTCATCATCCAACCTGTCATGGATACTTAATATTCCGATTTACAGGCAAGTGCGCCGTTTACCCCGGCGGCGGCTTTGAGACGTTCGACAAGAAGGAGATCATCTTCAAGACGAACTGCTCGTACCAAGCGGCCGGACGCGATGAGCCAAATGGAAAATACAACTTTAAGGTAAAAATGAACATTGCAAGCACATGCTTCCTTTATCAGATCGTATGTTTTCTGAGCATCGTATATTAGACACTGGAATACTGACTGAAATGAGACGGCGCGACTGCCTGACCTGACCTACTCGCTGTGGCGTGCTCGTCAAACAGGTGCTGGTGGACAACGCCAACTGCCACACCACATACGACGGCCGCGTGACGTGCACGGATGACGTCCGGCTCGAGTGGGCCTCGAACGTCATCTTGCTGCAGCGCGCCGGCGATCTGGTGAGCATACACACATTAGGGATTAGGGTACTAGGAGACGTGTATGGGCTGTTCACCGCCTTTCAGCACGTTCTTGCTATCGCACTGATGGACGAAGGCTTGTCATGCAAAATTATAAATCGTGCTACTATATTGTTTTTATGTGGTTATTAATGGAATATTTTTATCGCATCTGACTTGCAAGAAGTTTTGAATTCCCTTTTGGGAAGGAAAGGAGTTGGTGCGTGATGCTCCACTTGTGAAAATGTGTGTTTAAAGTAAGACTAGCCGTAACCGATTGTTGAACCGTTTCTTTGAACGAATACTTTTTTTAAAGACCGTGTAAGATGATGCTGTATCGGCCATCGCACATTGGTTAAATGCTGATGCTACACAGTCAGCCTGTGCCCAGTCTTTGCTCGGTCCGGCAATGTCCTTTCCTATGAAAGCTTTGTCCAGACGCTTTCCTCCAGACAGCGTTGCTGGCCTTCGCTGCATACCGCGGCGCTAGCGGTCGGGGTCACGAGTGCCGCCAATGAGCCAGATGTCCCTGGCGCCGAGCCGACTGCCGAGATTGGACACCCGCTGAGCGTAGAAGAGAAGTCTAGAGCTGAGTTCCGCCTCGAAGTCCTTCGCCTCATCCTTCGCCTCCCTTCCAACGCTGCTTCTCCAACACTTTCAAACATCAACACGCTACTCACAGTCACAACACAGCCTTTGCACACGCTATAGTCATGAGCACTTCCTCGCCAGCCACAGCCACCTCACTGACACAATCCTCCTCTCTGTCTCTTCCATGTCCAAACCCCAGAGGCGGAACTCGGCCGGAAGCTGGCGCAGCAGACGCGCCGCCAGCGAGCGCTCGGCCCTCGCCGCACTCCGCAAGAAGATATCTCGCTTAGAGCGCAAGATGGGACGCATAGAAAACAAGGGCAAGTCGATACCGTTCAAGCTGGCGGCCCGTATGGCGCGCTACATGGCCCGGATGCGGCGGCTGCAGCAGCAGTCGGCGCCTGAGCTGACCACCGCGGCGCCGCTGACCCTGACTACCACCGAGCCGCCGGCTGTGCCGGACTCGGAGCGCCGACCGACGGCGGCGCCCGCCACCGAGCCGCCCTCCCCCATCACCATCGACCGACTGAAGACGGTGGCCGGCGCTCTGGATCGCTACTCGCGGTACCGACCTGACGAGGCCGTGTCCAGAGCTTATCGGAGGGCCGAGCTGCTCGAGAAACGCGACCCCAAGCTGGGACTGCGTGCCCTGATCCGAGTGGCGCGCAGGTACAGCGCGGAGATCGACGATATTCTGAACTCGCCGCCAATCGACGATGTTACTACTGAGAGTCCCACCACCACTACCACTACTACTACCACTACCACCACAACCGCGGCTCCGGCCAATCCTGTGCGGCCGCCTCCTGTGCGCCGCCAGAACTCGATCCGGAGCATCGCGATGGCTCTGCGTGCCCAATCTCAGCGCGGGGCGTCGTCTCCCAGCCCTGAAGCCCCGGGGGCAGGAGCTGACCCTGCCCCAGTCCTCGGCATCGCACCTCGCACTAGTCGGGCGCGGCTGAGAGCCCCTGCGCCGGCACCAGTCCTTGGTATAGCACCCCGCTCTAGCCGGGCGCGACTGAGAGCCCCTGCGATCGCCCAGCCCCGCGCTGCCCCGGCACAAGTCCTCGGGATCGCTCCCCGTACCAGTCGGGCGCGATTGAGGGCCGCCGCGCTCGCCCGGACCAGGACCACCACTCTGCCTCCGACTACAGCTGAGGCAGTCACGGAGCTACCGGTGCCGCAGGAGACGCTGTCGGCTCCACCAGAGACGGTGACGGCTCCGCCGGAGAGCTCCCTCAGCGGCAGAGACCGGGCGCTGGTGGAGCAGGCCCGTCGGTTCTCGGAGCGGCGGCCGGCCGCGCAGCTGTCACAGGTGTTCCGCGCCGCCCTCGAGGCCGGCAGTCTGGCAGAGTTTCTGCAGCAGTACGGCGGCGTGGTGGCGCTGATCGGCTCCGAGGACGCGGACCGGGACACGGCCGCCGAGAGGACTGACTCGGAGGAGGAGGACACTCCTCGGAGGACTGAGACCACTCCGCTGAGGGCTGAGACCATCGGCCCGGCGCCGGCGCCCGTGGCGGCCGCACTGGTCTCCACAGCACCGCCAGCCCGACAGCGTGACCGGGAACCGACCCGAACCACGGAGGAACCGCCACCGACGCCCTCCCCGACGGACAGCGAGCACCAGAATAAACACGAGGATGGAGAATACGAGGAAGGCGAGGAAGAGGATATATTCACGGCTACGTTTGCGTTCCATGAGCCTATGGCACTGCCGCTGGCGATGCCACCCGTTGCAAGCGATGGTGGTACTGTCCTCAGAAATAAACGACAGGTAAACGAGTGATCGAATGACACTCAGGTGAAATCATGATAAGAACTGGGACCAGAATGTTGATAAAATATCAACACTATAGGAGGCGATGCACGCTTTGCGTGTTTGTATGTAATCCTTTCCTTTCATGACAGATATGTGCTTAATAATTGTTCTCAAAGTCACCAACACTTCTATTAGTACTAAAACCAAAGGGCCAGCATACCAAAGTCGCGTTTCGATAAGTCATAAACTGTTTCCTGTTCAAACCCCTTTTCTGGCCCACTGACTGCTGTCCTGTGCCTGTGTGTCCGCAAACCGTTGTCTTTTGCAGACCACTCCATAATCGTTCCTTTACTTACTGACTACAGTTCCTATGACGGCCCGTGTAGCTCAGCTCAGCTGCCCCTCCCCCTCCCCGCTGACACCCCGCGCCCCGCCCCGCGCCGCTCCGTGTCCCGCCAGGTGGAGGTATTTGTGAACGGCGCCATGGTGGAGGGCTTCTACCACGAGTACGGCTGGGGCTCGGTGTCGCAGCCGCCGCAGAGCGCCGTGCTGGTCACCGTGCCGGCCCTGCACCTCGAGGTCAGCCTGCACCCCGTCTCGGGCGAGCTCTCCATCCAGCTGCCCTCGAAGATCTACGGCGGCAGTGTGGGCGGCGTCTGCGGTTAGTGACCAATCGTGCTCCAAGGGCTGGTTCTATGCCCTCAGCGTACTCTTTGTAACGGTAGCGGTAACCGTCTACATAGTTAAAAACCATCGCTGGGCCATTTAGGCAGACATGCTTTTCTGAGCTGTGGTAATACATTTGCTTTTTAGAAGAGGAACTGCTGTAGCAGTTTAGCGTACCTACCAACTTGTTCTGGTTGTTGATAGCGTCGCATCCACTGACCACTCGATATATCCACGCTGTTGTCGCCAGGTAACTGTAACGGCAGCCCGGAGGACGAGGAGTCGCGCTCGCCGGCGTTCTGGCTGCTGGACCACGAGCGGCCTGACCAGTGTGTGTCCGAGAAGCCGCCGTGCGTGCCGCCGCCGGCCGACCAGGACCCGTGCCAGGCGCTGCTCGATGAGACCGTGTTCGGCGCGTGCCACCAGCTCCAGGACCCGGCACCGCTGGTCGCCGCCTGCCAGAGACGCCTGTGAGTCGCACTGTTTTCAGCAGTTAACGTCAGGATGCCGGCTTAAGGTCATTATAATTGTTGTTTAGCTCACATGATAGTGACCTGGCGATAGGTTGTCACCCCATTCCAACAACTTGCCGAGAACACGCCCATATTTCGTTGAGCACGATATTTTTACGTCGTTTTATTTGGGTTCCATCCATTATGCTGTGAAGAGGAGTTCTTTTTAAATGAAGGTTGCAAACCGTGCCTGGATAAAATGACCGAGGCATGTTCACATTTAATCATTACGTTGCGGTTATTCTACCGTTTGACGCCACCAATTGTGACGTTTCTGCTACTCTGCCGCCCGTTCAGCTGCGACGACGTCACCCACGACGTGTGTGACGAGTTGGAGCAGTACGCGCGCCGCTGCTACGAGAGCGGCCTGTGCCTGGCGTGGCGCTCGGACGAGCTGTGCGGCCGGGAGGACGCGTGCCCACCCACCACCGAGTACCGCCAGTGCACCGGCACCTGTCTCAAGAGCTGCGACAAACAGGACTGCCCGCGCCTCGAGATGGACGGCTGTTTCTGCCCCGACGGACAGGTGAGCGGGCCCTGCCAGCGGCAACAGTTGCCATCGGTCAGTGATGCCCTGCCCTGCCCTGCCCTGCCCTGCCCTGCCCTGCCCTGGGCCCTACCAACGGTCAGTGTTGTACAAAGGCACTGTATGTTTTGTCGTAAGAGAATGACAGATAAACAAAGTCACACCACGCTTGTATTTGGTTGCTTGTACCGTCCATTATATCACCCGCACAAAAGCGCAACAAGTTTTTATGTGTTGCCAAGCTATTACATCACTCTGATGTATGTAACGTTTCGTGCTGGCCGTCACTGACCCGATCCGCTGCCGGTGCAGGTTTACGAGAACGACGTGTGTGTGAGTGCTGCCCGGTGCCAGTTCTGCGACGACGAGGGACACCGCGCCGGCGACACCTGGAAGCCCGACAACTGCACCAGCTGCGAGTGTCAGGAGGGCGGCCTCGCGCGCTGCACACAGGTGAGGCTCCCTGTCGAACCCTCGTTTGCTCTGAGTTGTGCAGATATTTCGCAAACTCGTAAGTAACAACATGGTTTATCGGCACTTTTTGGGACATGTTGATGGATGCTCATAAAGAATACTAAACATCTCTAAAAATTAAATTACTGTGAGCAGGGTTGTGCTCGACTCAAAAAAATTTGCCGACTCGACTCATCATTCAACTTCAGAATGCCCTGACTCAACTCTGACTCAAACAAGGAGCTGATTTTTTCCCTTGACTCGACTCATGACTCAAGCGGCTCAATGAAAATATGAGTTGACTCAAACTTGACTCAAATTTTTGGTTGAGTCAAATGTGTTGACTCAAAATTGACTCAGATAAAAAATTGTTGAGCGGGGGGGGGGGGGTAAAAAAAATCCGGCAGCAGGGCCAGGCCTAAGTTGTTAAGCGGGGGGAGAATGAAAAACTTATACTATATATTGTTTCTAAAAAGTTGAGTCAGCTGACTCATGTTCCTAAATGTTCTTGACTCAACTCAATGTCAAAAGTTATTTTACTGACTCAACTCTGACTCAACTCAACACCTTAATATTTTTGTCCGACTCAACTCTGACTCAACTCAACAGCTCAACATTTTATCCGACTCGACTCAAATCTGACTCATTTGAGTCAGAGTTGAGTCAAATTTCTGACTCGACTCATGAGTCAAGCACAACCCTGACTGTGAGATATAAGGGAGCTTAACCGTACTCCTTAGGCCCAGCGGCCGCCGAGTTAGGTAATATCTACCCGTAAAATTTGGTGTTTTTTTGTGTTTGCTGATTGAAGCGCTGACCGTGTGCGGTGGTTGGCAGGCCGACTGCCCGGACTCTGCCAGTCTCGAGTGCGGCGCTGACGAGGTGGTCACCGAACTGGAGGGTACCGGTACAGAGTGCTGCCCGCCGCGGTACGTATGTCGTCCGGCGCCCACCACCACCACCACCGAGCCGCCCGTGCACTGCCCGGACGTGGTGGAGCCCACCTGTAACGCCGCGGAGGGCAAGCGCGTGGAGCGTCTGACCGTCAACGGGTGTCCAGTGGCCGTCTGCGAGTGTGTGCCCGAGAAGGAGTGTCCGGAGCGGCTGCAGCTGCGCCCCCTCAACGCCGGCGAGAGCTACCGCAACCGCACCGACACCTGCTGTCCGCTGGAGGAGATCGTCTGCAACAAGACGGCGTGTCCGGCGCCGCCGCAGTGTCCCGACGGCTTCCTGCTGCACACGAACCCTGAGACGGTGGCCGACTGCTGCCCGCACACCTTCTGCCGCCAGCCGCCCGACACCTGTCTGGTGCGGCTCGACGTCGATATCGACATTCGCACCATCACCGCCGACTCCGACGAGGGCTTTGTGCTGAAGCGCGCCGGCGAGGTGTGGACGGACGGCTTCTGTGACAACTGCACGTGCCGCGAGGTGCCCGGCGGCGACCCGCCCTACCAGCCGGTCTGCGTGCGCGTGGCGTGTCAGCTGCCGTCAGAGGCCGACGAGCAGGAGTATGTGTACGAGGAGAACGAGGACAGCGCCGACCTCTGCTGCCCGGAGCTGGAGCGAACCGCCTGCAGGGATAATGGCAAGGTGAGAAACTGAGCTGAGGTCAGCCACCCGGCAAATGTCGTTAACTTACATCAATTAATTTCGTTGTGCATGCAAAATGAGGCTCTGAATCTGATTTGCGCTTGCGAAAGGCCGATATATTTGATAGACGCTGTTGTGACATGTAATCCTCTTGCTCAGTGGAAGTAACCGAACCAATGATCCCGCTACGCAGGTGTACCAGCCGGGCAATTCGTGGCAGCCGTCGATCGGGGGCCGGCCCGTGGACCCGTGCGTCACCTGGACCTGTGAGAACGATCCCAAACACGGCGTCATCAAGGTCTCCAACCGCGAGAAGTGCGCCAAGGAGTGCCGACTGGTGAGTGGCTGTGTAGTTGATGGTTGATAACAAAGGATGGAACGGGGAAGACTTATAAATATGCGACATATTTTCGTTAGGTCTCACGGAGAATGATGGAGCCGACACCAGATTTGAGGCCAGAATTGATACTGATTGTTGCGAGACTGAAATCAGGGTGACAATATTTACTGCTATTGGCGATCGGAATACGTTATTCCTGGCTGATGATCATAAAACTGTAACTTATTTGAAGTCCATTTTCTAAGTCAGTTTCGCCTCCCCGCCGCGCTTCTCGTGACCCTTCCCCCGCCCCCTCTCAGGGTCACACGTACGTGGCGCCGGCGCCTGGCTCGGACCAGTGCTGCGGCGAGTGTGAGCGCACTGCCTGCGTGGTCGGCGGCGTGGTGCACGCCGAGGGCGAGATCTGGAAGTCGGAGGACGGCTGCACAGAGTTCACGTGCGAGCGCGACTTCTTCGACGGCCAGCTGACGGTGATGAGCATGGCGGCGCTGTGCCGCGACGTCAGCGACTGTCCGCCCGAGAACCTCTACACGGACGAGACGGGATGCTGCCAGCGCTGCAACCGCACCGGTCAGTGGCGAGCGGTGCCGAGCGCTGCCGCCGGGGCGGGGCGGGGTGGGACAGTGGCGAGCGCTGCCGCCGGGGTAGGGTGGCTAGGGTGGCGACCAGCACACAGGACCCAGGGGGCAAGGTGGCACCGTGAGACACCGTCTCTGGAGCAGGGTGGCTGGGATGAACGTCATGCTAGCAATAATCATGTTTACGAGCAGTGCATCTTGCCCGAACGTCAGATAGGTTTCTTGTGCGCCATCATTTTTTGAGCATCCGTTCTTTCGTCGGGAGTACTAAGCGTTCTCCGTGTCCTAGACTGGCTGCTGAAGCGTTGTTACCCGCGTCGTTCCGCTTCCACAGACAACTGTCACGTGAAGGTGGTGCCACCACCCGAGACGGTCGGCATGTTCAAACAGGGCGAGTGCGTCAACACCGAGCCGGTGGTCGGCATCATCAACTGCAAGGGCGCCTGCGACTCCATGGCCTTCTTCGACACCGGTGAGGCAACGAGGGTTTGGGGCTTGATACTGGTGAAATGATACGCTATTCGAGCTCACAAACATTTGAAAGTTCCATCACAAATGCCCGATTGAGGAGCAAGTGCACAGTGGACCGTCCATTCGACACTCTAACTAGACACGCTAACAATGCATCGCTTTTAAAGCGGAAATGTCTTCATGCACCGACGTCAAAAACGCTTATTTTCTGTCCCGCTGGGTTAGTACCGTCTGTTTTCTGTCGGGCGGTCTGCTTGCCCTATCCCTCGCACTCGTATTGTTTCTGAAACTGGCGCCATGTTTCCCCCAGACACGTCCACCATCCAGTCGGGCTGCAAGTGCTGCGGCGCCACAGGCACTCGCCAGCTGGACGTGCGGCTGACCTGCGAGACCGGCAACAGCATCTACCACACGTTCACCGTGCCGGACAGCTGCGCCTGCAGCAAGTGCGTCAGCTCCTCCTCGGAGCTCGACTCGCGCTCGGCGGGCGCCTTCTGGCAGCAGAGCACCGGCGAGGACTGGGCGCAGCAGACCGGCCTGCCCGACCCGTGGGGCGCCGGTGACGGCGGCGCCGACCCGTGGGCGACCGGCGGTGACGGCGGCGCCGACCCGTGGGCTACGGACGGCGGCGGCGGTGCCGACCCGTGGGCCACCGGCGGTGCTGACCCGTGGGCGACCGGCGGCGGCGGCGGCGACCCCTGGGCGACCGGCGGCGGGAAGGACGCTGAGTTCGCGCGCCAGCTCGGCCCGGCCGGCAGCGACGAGGTGCTCGACAACGAGCTGCTGTCGCTGCTGGGCGGCGTGACCGACGACGCCGAGGATATCGGCACCGGTACCATCCACTGAGCCGCCGCCCCCCGTTCTGCCGTCACGCAATGACGGTCTCGTTTTGTGACATGTATTTGTAGATCTATCGTGATAATGCTACGTGGTCGATATGGCTTGATTTAGATGAGTTGTATATTTTTACTAAGCGATAGCAATAATGTTTGTGCCTGTATAGAATGTGCCTATCGAGAGGAGTTCTAGCCATAAGACGGACGGCGTGAAACATGTTCATAGCTAATAACATTTTATATAGCCGTTGTTTGTTTCCAGCATGAGTTCTGTGGTCATGTGTTTCCGGAGTGGTTCGCTTGTGATCACTAGAATATGCTTGGTTTCAAATTACTGGCATTTATGCCGGTAACTATACATAAAGGGTGTTCCGTTTTCCTGTTGGTTTTCTTTTTACTGCAAACTGCTGTGCTTGGTCAACAGGGTATCGAGGCCGAATAAGATATCAATACAATAAATGAATTTCACGCCAATGCTGTTTGCGCTGGCGGTTTGAATGGAGAAGAGAGATCATACTGGCAGCAACATTTTAGGCACGGCGACAAAATACATAGTGCACTGTGCCGGTAAGGCAATCGGCAACGTCGGGACGACTGAAACGATAGCGCCATCGGTAACGTTGGGCGTGGCGGCACGTCCAACCTTCCTTGAAACATTGGAAACTTCGCAGCATTTACATATATTCCCATCGAGGATAATCACTGCCCAGGTAAACAGCGTTCAAAAGAATACTTCTTGCATCATCCCAATAACTGTCTGTAGCCGTGACAGCTTTCCTTTCCTTCACGCTAAATCACGTTACAGACACATGTCTGCCCCATAAATATACGCTCAGTAGTTACGCATACGTTGCGTTTAAGATTTTGCGACGTCTCCATTCTGTCATCTCACACAGCACAGCCTTGTACGAAGAGCCAACTACAAACGGCCCGCCAATATACACATACAAATAGAGTAATACGCCAAAACTCACAAATTATACACTTGAAGCTTGTGGGACGCCGGAGAAGTGTCCAAACAGGACAGCAGTTCGCGCTTTTTGATCACTGCTGGAGACTCTCTGAGCAGCTGTACCGGTCACTGCTCGAGACTCTGAGCAGCTGGTTTGTAGCTGTCACTGCTGGAGACTCACGGAGCAGCTGGTGTGGGTCCGTACGTCTCGACCCCTCACTGCTGGAGGCTCTCTGCGCAGCGGCAGCCGCAGCCGGTCGGACAGAGCAGCTGGTCGCGGAACCACTGCAGCATGTGTAGCAGGTGACCGCCGTGGCCGCACACCAGACAAAAGGACGACATACCTGCCAGAGAGGTCACAAAGCGTCACCAACGGTGCATGAACAGTATAGACAACAATTAACACATTGAAGCGTGTGGTAGCGAGACAGCGGGTTATTTTAAACCAAAATTAAAGGTAGTGTGCCAGCTTTCCTGGACCGTATGGAGTTAATGGCCCAGATAAGGAGAACCGGATTTTTAGAACTTATCCATACCTTCAAAACTCATTGAAACGTCTTAAATTCTTCAAATTTTGAGTACCCCAGTGCGAAATTCGCCCCGACGGGTTGTCGGTCGTACCCCAACCACATTTCACACCACTATGAACAATAAATGCACACACTGAAATCGCTATTACCGATATGCTCATCCAATCAAGTTTCGATAAACCCGTTCATCATCATCTCCTGCGGTTTCGAACACGCCTGTTAGGTGGTGCGGTAGACCGCGCCCAAAGCCAGGGCCCCGGTAACGTGAGGTAGCCGAGTCGGGGCAGCGTGCGCTGACCCAAGCCGGGGCCGCGCGTCCTCCCGGTGTCATGTGATAGCCCGGGGCTGCCCGCGGGGATGCGGTAGACCGCGCCCAAAGCTGCGGCCCCGGCTTGGGTCAGCGCACGCTGCCCCGACTCGGCTACCTCACGTTACCGGGGCCCTGGCTTTGGGCGCGGCTTCTGCTCATACGTTGTGGTGCGGTGGTGGTGCGTCGGGCCGCGCGCTCTGACTTCGGCCAAGAAAAATGCGTCAGCTGATCATTGTCATTTCTGCCACTTGCGTGTGGTGAAATGGGGTCATAACTTAAGAGACGGCTTTTTCATATCAATTATTTTACATAAAATCATATTTCAAACCATAAATAATGTTCGACAGCCAAATAAAAGAAACAATACCAATACAGGCTTACAGTTTAAGGCTCGACATTGTGTTGTCTACGATTAGACAGCTGATAACTCATTCCCGTACGTCGTAACTCTATAATGACCTTTGCTTATTGTCACATGTGCGCCGCATTCGCGATTGTTGCCGACGCCTGTTTGCAGTTCAGCCCACTACAGTTGTTATACATATCGAAAAACCGATAAACTTTTAGGCGAAAAAGGCACTATTCCAGGCCCATTTTTGATTTTTTTTGCGATATTAGGTAAAAACAGAAGCTTCTTATCCTAGGAAAAATAAAATGGGAAATCTTTCAAAGGTGGCACACTACCTTTAAAGTAAAGCTTTCGTATATTATTTCGTATATTAGTTCAGACATCACAAATGCTGTAAAGCCCTGGTGATGGTAGTACCTAACTATCGATATTCTATCTACAGCATATGTAAGGTCCAGCACCCCTCCCACAATTCCATCCGGACCAACCATGCTCAAATCACCCCACCCCATTCAAATTAAACCACCCTACCCTATACGTCGTCGTACATGAAAATAGCATGCTACACATACACATTCACAGATATCACACACATTGTCACATCACGGTAACACAATAATTTCATATTTCGTACATCTTGGAATGCTTAGCCAGTCAATTCTTTAAAAGTTCCTGAAAATCTTTGAAACAATTGACTTCAACCACACTACGTGGGAGTCTGTTCCATTCCCTAATCGTCTTAGGGAAGAATGAATGATGGTAAGGGAGAAGTCTAGACTGAACCATTCTAATTTTTTTCTCATGATCATGCCTACCAACATAAGAGGGCTGGCATATGATGCTGTTGAGTTCTGTGGATAACTGCGATAGCTCACCGTTGAACATTTTGAACATAAGGCACAGTCGAGACTCACTACGTCGCCTTTCCAAAGTTTTCCATCCGATTTTTTCTAACATTTCATCAACACTGCTATATCTCTCGTAATCGTTCAACACAAATCTCGCAGCACGTCTTTGAACCATCTCAATTTCTTTCTTTAAACCCTCTCCACATGGGTCCCAGACACAGCTTGCATATTCCAAAATTGGCCTGACTAGTGACATGTAAACAGTTTCCTTCACAGCTTGAGGGCAGTCTCTAAAATTCCTTTTAATGAATCGAAGAATTTGGTTGCCTTTTCCAGCGACATATTCTACATGTTTTTGCCAACTACATTTGCTAGATATATGCACTCCCAAGTACTTGAATTCTTGAACAACGTTAATCTCTTCGCTGTTCAAAAAGTATTTAGGTGCTATATTCATTTTTTGTCTAGACATACGCATGATGGCACATTTATTAACATTGATAACCATTTTTGAGTCTTGGCACCATTGAGATAGTTCATCAAGGTTTGCCTGCAAAACACTATTATATGTCTCGTTACCTGAAACATGTGTATAGAGAACTACATCATCTGCATACAATCTAACTGAACAATTGATTTTGTCTGTGAGGTCATTTATATATAAGATAAATAGAATGGGACCCAAAACACTTCCTTGCGGTACACCCGACGTTACTTTAATGGGTTCAGAAAAGCAATTATCATTTACAACCCTCTGGGTTCGATCCTTTAGGAAAGATCTGATCCATCCCAGTGCCTTTTTATCTAAGTTATATGTTTTAAGCTTATTTATCAGAAGGTAATGCGGGACCTTATCAAAAGCTTTACTAAAATCGATAAATGCCAAATCTATGCATTTTCTATCATCAATGGATGCCAATAAGTCCTGACATAGCATAATTAGTTGTGTTTCGCAGGACAATCGCCTCCTGAATCCGTGCTGATACTCTGTTAGCAGTCCAGCATCTTCTAAGTGTGTCACAATAGATGCGACCAATATCCGTTCCATCATTTTGCAACAGATGCATGTTAATGAAATTGGCCTATAATTTTCAGGTTTCTTGTGGTTGCCACCCTTAAAAACAGGGTGCACTAAGGCTTCTCCCCAGTCCTTCGGTAAATCTCCTGTCTGGAGGGATTGTTCGAAAATAATCTTAAGGAACTTCGCAGCTACCTTCGCGCAATTCTTAAGTAAAGCTCCACTTACACCATCAGGCCCACAAGATTTGCTAACTTGAATTTTCTCTAAAGCTAAAGCTATCGGCTTATACTTCTTTGCGAAGTTATTTTTTTTCGTCAACCCAACAGAACGCCATTGTTATATTTCGAAAGTGCTGCTCAATAATTAGTTGTGAGCAGAACATCACAAAAGATAAAAGTTATCCCCAAAAGGTGAAACCACACAGTGACAGAAGATTGAAACGCCCCGGGAACACAGGGTCAGAGACGTGCCAATCCGGACCGACTTCGGAGGGACAGTTCAGCCACCCACCAAACGCCCAGGAAAATAGGGTCAGAGACGTGACAGTACCGACTCCGGACAGAGGGGCAGACAGTTCAGCCACTCACTCCGGATGGAGGTACTATTGGTCTCAAGATAAGGGCCCAGGCGACCCGTCGTTTTGATGCGGCGAATACCCTCCTCACCCTCGCCACAGCCCGGACCGGGTGCACCCCTACTCCCAGCCAGCGCCACTCCCACTCGAGTTGTGGCGAGGAAGAAAGTAGGTATTCACCGCATCAAAAGTCCAGGTCGCCTGGGCCCTTATCTTGAGACCAATAGTACATACAGACAATTAAGCCACCCACCTTTGACGGAGGGGACAGACAGTTCGGCCACCCACCTTTGACGGAGGGGACGGACACTGAACTGTCCAGCCACCCACCTTTGACGGAGGGGACAGACAGTTCGGCCACCCACCTTTGACGGAGGGGACAGACACTGAACTGTCCAGCCACCCACCTTTGACGGAGGGGACAGACAGTTCGGCCACCCACCTTTGACGGAGGGGACAGACACTGAACTGTCCAGCCACCCACCTTTGACGGAGGGGACAGACAGTTCGGCCACCCACCTTTGACGGAGGGGACGGGCAGTTCAGCCACCCACCTTTGACGGAGGGACAGACAGTTCGACCACCCACCTTTGACGGAGGGACAGACAGTCCGGCCACCCACCTTTGACGGAGGGCAGACAGTTCGACCACCCACCTCTGTCGGAGGGACAGACAGTTCGGCCACCCACCTTTGACGGAGACGTGGCAGATGACGCAGACGATGGTGCACCGGCGGCACAGCGGGCACTCGGAGCCGGCGAACGTGCGCCCGCAGCGGGAGCACTCGGAGCGTACCTCCAGGCCGCAGTGCGCCACCGGCACCGTGCTCACGTACTTGAGCACCTGAGCACGGCGGCGGCAGTGGTCAGGACACGGCGGTATAATATAGGGCGCTGGATGGAAATCAGCAAACTACTCGGACTTATCTCTTCCGTGTCACATAGGTCTATTTATTGGGATTTTAGGCCGCGTCTCTGCCGGCAGTCGAGTACCGACTTCTGCAGTTCGGATACCGAGCCCTGTCGGTGCCGCTACGTACTCACCTGTGCCCGGTGGTTGGTCAGCTGCCACCGGTACAGGATGTCGGCGTAAATCCGTTTGTATCGATCAAACTCGGCCTGACGAGCGGGGTCCAGGAGCCTGCAAATAGAAACATCCAGTTCGGTCATCTCCAGATTCCACGCAACGGGATTATAGCTCTCTCACGACCCAATACATCGTCCTACAATAACGACGCACAGCATAGTCATATAACTGCCATTGCCAGTGTAGGTGTCCCGTCCTAAGGCGCACCTACCGTCGGTTGTTGTCATGCTGGAAGCGCTGTTCGATGGCGCCGGGCTCGGGCGCCGCCAATCGACTCTCGTCCAGCACATCCGACCACGAGTTGCTGCGGTTCTGGCGCGACACGTTGACGCCGAGCCCCTCGAGCGTCGGGTGGCGGCGAGTCTCGGTAGGGTGGACCGTGTGGTACGGCGACTCGCCCGGCTGCAGAAACACGGTAACAAAGGGCGTAACAGCGGAACAGCAGCTGGTCAACACGCCAAACACGACATCTACACCGAATACAGGGTCAAAGTTACCATACGGGTGCGGCAGACTGTATGGAGGTTATGTTACTGTGAACTTTACCATGTCCGGGGTGTGTCCGCTAGAACGCCTATTGGCACATACAGCTTCAGCCTTTATCAGAGCCATTTCATCCGCGAAATTGCTTTATTCCACGAAAAGTAAGAAATTAGATCTCTCTCCAACCAATGTCTACTGTATCAAGGAATCCGCCCGTTCGTTGTTCGTCCTTTCTTCCATCAGCCATATGTTAAATTCTCTCTGAGTGCACACTATCTGATATGCCTCAAAACCCTGTCTATACTTTTAATCCCATTGCCGGTTCCGAACATAGCCTCAGGAATGTAAAAGGCGTCTAATGAAGTTTTTTTTTTCGTTGTGCATGCCCATCTGTAGCACGGTCATTGCCAATGTCATGCATGGACATGTTCATCCAAGATTTAGGGGTAAAGATCAAGGGGTCAAAGCATGCAGAACAAATAATGACAGCGCTGCCATAGCCGAGCACAGATCAGTTCGGGGGCTGCTAAAACACGTGCTTAAACACAATATTGTATTCACCCAGTCCAGTATTAACCCGCGCACCGACGGGGGGGGGGGCGGATATCCGCCCCCCCCTGAGGTTTTTCGTGAATAGCGGGAAAACCGCGGCGCGTAGCGCCGCGAAATTTGGTATGACTATAACCTCATCAATTTTACACATGGTGTGCAAGTTTGAACCTCCTACCTTTTAAGGTCAGGTCACCAGGTCACTTTGAATGACCCAACCTCAAGTCACTTTTTTGCAACTTTGTCACCGTGCCAGAGCTACAGTAGATGTCGGAGGCCTTTGAAACTCACAGGATATTATTAGGTCATTAGTAGCCACAATTTGTATATCTCGGAATTTTGATATCGGTGACCTAAGGTCAGGTCAATTTCGCGACCTCCCCATTATAAGTCAATGGGGGAAAAATCAACTCCCTGTTTTTACCACTAAAACGGGTCGGAATGGCCCCATATACCATACATGACTTCATATACGATCAACCTTCACTACCTTGAGGTCTGTTTTGCTGTTGGGCAGCTGTGAGGTCATGTGACGTCATCAAAGGTCACCAAAGGTTTTTGGCCAATAACTCCGTACAGGAACAAGATACAGACGCGTGGATGGTCTCATTGTGTTCAGCTCGTCAAGACGCATCGAATGATATACATGATGACCTCGAGGTCACGTGACCTGAGGTCAACCTTTGACCTTGACCTTTCGAGGTCAACATATATATCATTCGATGCGGATTGACGAGAGGATCACGATGATGCCCTTAGTTTGTTCCTATCTTGACTAATTCGAAAGTTATTCGAGAAAAACTCTCTCCATATCTAGCGCCGCCATTTTGACTTTTTCGACCCCTGTGACGTCATCCTTGACCTGACCTGAAAATGACCTTAGTAAAAATTGTAGATCTTGGCCGTGCGTATCCGATGCCGTTTACCGCTTGTCGCTATCTTGCTTCGTTCTCGAGATCTCAGGGGGGGGCGGTCATCCGCCCCCCCCCCGTCGGTACGAAGTTGGCGCAGACCCCCGTCGGTGCGCGGGTTAAAATGCAACCGTGTACGAGAACAGACTGAAAGAAAACTAAACGAGTAAGTTTGGGTTTTATCATGAGAGATCTCCGATAATTCCTGAGGTGATTATTTTTCTAACTAGACCAAGTCCTCTGTACATAACATATGTTCATATCTGATGCGAATTTATGCTCCTGTTCAAACAAATGGAGTCTTATTAAGGTTTCCAGTCGACCTCTTGGTATCGCCGGTTAAAGAGAGTAATGTCTGGTAAGCGGGGAACCGAACGATTTCTCTCACCATCGAGACGGAGGCTAATATAACTGCATGCAGTAACTGACCGCTGCCCGATGTCCACATCGCAGACTGCTACCAATTACCATGCCTGTCATATTCATAGCTATACAGTATACGTGCTGGGTAGCGGTAGTCTGAGTTTTTATCGAAGGACAGGACACAAACCAGACAGGCACAAGGTAGGTACATAGAAGCCAACTTTTTACATAAACATTTATGACCAACTGTGTATATTTCGAGGCAAAGATCAAACATGCCGCTAGCAGCAGGACAAACTGCGCAGACTATTACGATTATTGAGCCACGCAGTGTTTGGACTGGAACCAGCAAATGCAAAGAAAATGCAAAGAACACACGAGTCGGCCAGATCAACACACGTTTATCTTATCAAAGTACACACTGTAGGGGGAGGTCTGGTAGAAAATCACAACGCATCCGTTTTTTTTTCCAAAAAGGGTTACGACTTCTGACAAAGCCCACGCGCCACTCACCCCACATACTCTGGGAGCACACAAGCCAGCGTTTTTTCTTCCTAAACATGGTACAGATTATAGTCAGGTATAGGGTGCTAAGCTCCAAATCAAGTCAGGTCAAGTAACTTCATCTCCAGAAAATGTGATGAACTTATAGCTTAGTCGGCATGAATTAATAAATCAGCTATTAAAAAAAGTTATAAGAAAGTTTCAGCAATTGATGAGCATGGCAATTGTCAAAAGCAAATACATCTGCCAAGCTCACATGTATTTAGACCTTGAATCAATTCATAGCACATAATCATACCACAACAATGCGATGTTAATATTCAATGCACTTTACTAATGACACCTGTGTATCGTATGAGTTCATGTGCCGTCCTGGGAGATCGAATGCGTTTATTTGCTTCATTTTGTGGTTGAAATAAGGCTCAGGCGTTGAATCGGCTGAACTGTGCTGGTCTCCTTTGGACGTGACGACAGATGCACAACATGACCATTTTGGGTCAGGTCATAACCTCGAGCAAAGATCGGATGGAGCTAAATTCGCTGCAGCTAGAGGTCAAACCGCTGACTTCAGGAAGACTAACGTCTAACAGCATAACATAGAAATATTCCTTTATTGCTTTTTTTGCTCCGTTCGTTATATAAGTTCGACTCCGATTTATAAGTTAGACTCTAGTAATTCAAGACCTGCGTCATCGTTCAATTTAACAGCTTTCGGTAAAAAAAGACTCTTTAACAAAGATCGTCATGGAGGTCGGAGTAGCGTCAACTATACAGCCCATTCTAGCCATACGAGTGCGTTATGAACAGAGCGTCTCTCGTCTGGAACGCGGCCAGTGATGCTATAGCGGCAGGGCTAACATATTTCGTAAACACTAACGGAACAGACGAAACTGCAACTAAGAGGAAGCCGACGTCATTTGCGAAGCTGAGCTCATCCACACCATCATTGTCTAACACCCGCACGTTCGTCTCCATAAGGCGGTTTTCAGCATGGGTTTCTTAACAGAAATGCATTGTAATGAGACGCCTAAAAATAATATGCTAGAGGACTTCAGCCATGCTGGTTAATGGGACAGACGTCAAAGTTTTAGTAAAAGTCACACAATTACCTTCTTCACCAATCCCAGCTGAAACACACAGGGGGTTTCAGTCACAGAGATATCAAAGATATCCCGACCGACCGACAGATCATCAGAAACGCCATACAAAAACCGCCCCGATACACTGACACACACGCACCACTGCACGCTCAAGCGCGTTTACGCATGCGCCAGCCCTACGTTCGCAAATAAAACTTCAAAAATTATGCATGACTATTTTGGCAGGCAGGCCGCAGGCTTCAGAACTATGCAGCGATAGACTTATGCAGGAGGTAGCGAACACGTTTTGGCTGACTTTCCACTTTCCAACGTAGTACTTTGTAGCTGATATAAGCCTGTCGTTCCTAAACATTTTCAAATTTATGATAAATTATGCATGACGTTCTTGATGATAATAAATGTACTTCGCTGGAGAAAATGTACGCATAAGTGTGGTAGCTGGGAACTCGACAAGAACCGGTTAAGGCTGCTATGAGGACGTCACTTGAGACATCGGAAACTAGGGAGCAATAACCACTGCTGGACTTCTGTCAGATATGGGCCTCGAACCGTTCAAGACGCTATCCCCCCCCCCCTTTCAACCCTAGCATACCGCCCCGCATCCGTGGCTCGCCGACCGGCGGCAGGGATCACACAACGATGAGAAACACACAATACGGGCACATGAATGTCAATGTCATGACCTGACACCGAGTCATGCTTCATACCATTCCATCTGCCTCGAAGGAAAAATGAGCGCTGAACTTTTATTGTATGACGGTATGCCAGGTGCCATTCTGAGGCACTGTTCTCTGGGCCAGATGGTCGAACAAGAATTAGACTATACAATTCAGCACCAACTTCATTTTAAGCATTTTTTATCCAGATTTATCTTGTTTGGTATGCTTCGGATAATGAGCCCGTTTGCAGTCGCACACACAGCTTTGTTGATTTACGACCGATAAACAGAAAAACAAGCGCTTCAGTGCACAAAGCAAGTTGATAGTGTTCTATGCTGGTCGTTCGAAGACATGACCCGGGTCAGTTCCCTTTCAGCGGTTGATCGGATAAGCGACAGCAAACTGTCTCTTAGTTATTCTCCAATGCGATGTAGGACTTCCGGAAATACTTTCATTATCTGTCATAGTTGTTTGTAAAAAAAAGTTCGACTGGCTGAGTGAGTGATTGTGGACTGCTCCCATATGGTAAACTAGGTGATACATGCACAAAGACGCAGATTATTTATCAGTAATTTCTAACTTGCACTGAATGCTTGCAATATGCGCCACCTGATAAACAAAACTCCTCAAACCTTGCCTCAATTAAACAGTAAACTACAATCCTGCTGTAAAAAGGGAAAAGGAACTTTGAATGAAAATATGAGAAAAATACGTGCCAAAGGCCACTTGATCATTAAAAAACAAAAAATCATCGATGACGGTCAGGTACGTAAATATATAGCATTCGTAGAGCAAAAGCAAAGCAACCCTTGAACTTACAGGCACTTTTCTTACACCCGGCAATCCAGTTTCCCAAATTGCATGGGTGTGCCAAATCGCTCCAAAGCAACATCCCAGAATACGCTACAAAGTGCCGAACTCAAAATTCGTACTGCACTATGGGTTACTACAGGTACTTACAGATATGCGTGGGTTAATTAAACAAATAAACAAAACAAAGCAAAGCAAAACATTGCCGCGGTGTTGTTGAGTCTGCCTTAAGTTGTTGGGGTAACGGGGTAGCTGCCATAAATGTTACATCACATCCGTTATAGGTGTAAACGGTGTGCGTGTTTATCTGAAAGCAGCGGGCGCAGAGCAAGGGACTACATGGACAGCTAGGCTGCCTGATACAGGGACATTCCCACCGGTAGGGTTCCCACAGGTAGGTTCAGAGGACATTCGACTGTGGATCGAGGAGGTGGGGGGCGGGGGATGGCTGGAAGAGCTTCTGATATCTTATCCGACACCCGGCCTCAGCACAAGCGCACACGCGAGCGAATACACATAGCTACGGGGCGGGGTGTGGGTACAGACGGACGGACAGTGAACGGACGGCACGCCGGGTGGCCGTGGCCCCTACCTTCATCCACCATTTGTTGGGTACGGGCAGCTGGGGGCGACAGGTGGGGTATTTCTTAGCGGGCCGTTCGACTGGCAGCCCACACACTCGGGACACATAACCGCTCACCGTACACTCCAACACAAGACACGGTCTAGTCAACAGCAACATAATGTTCTTAAATGTCACAGACTCTGGAGCTTAGTTACTTTTGACACTCACAGGATCACAACAAAGAAACGAAAGGGAATTACGAGCCTAAAATATATTGCAGCATCGACATATGATAGTCGATTACTGGTCCCGGAATAACACTTTCAAAGGTTTCGACCAATGGGCTTGATACAAACGTCTCAGCCGTTTCGAACCCAGTTGGAATGAAGCTGATAGCGAACATCTTTTTTGTTGTCAAAAAGGAAGAACAACGTATAACGTAAGTGTTAAAGCTAATCAGTGTTTGTCAAAGCCATGAGATAAAATTGCAGTTGAATCCCCACAGCTGTCTGCCATTGTTACGGCGGCTGCGGCCGACACTCACGCTGCCCGAGTCGAGCTGGGCGACGGCCTGCTGTCGGACGGAGGAGCTGGGCTGCTGGGCGCGCGTCCCCAGCAGACAGCACAGCATGGCCACTGTCTGTACGTCGCGCATCTTCAGGTAGTGAGAGATACTGCGGGGGAGAGCGGCGGCGTCAGAGAGAGAATGGGGGTAAGGCACCATACCATCGCAGCCGCGCCGGGAAGCCACACGGACAAACGAGTGTCTGACTGTACGCTTATCATACAAACTACCGGAAAAAACAAAAGTCAGCTCTGCAGGGTCAGAAGAAAACAAGGATCGTTGTAGCTACTCACACGGACTCGACGAGGCGGCGTCCGAACGGGTGCTGCGCCCAGGGCCGGCCGGCGTCCGGGTCGGCGTTGGAGCCCACCAGGCCCGGGTCGCCCACCAGGCCGATCAGGTTCCATACCTGACGGAGAGGGGGACGTTAGACAGACGGCGGCAAGCGACGGCAGGACAGCATAGTGCAAAATTACGAAGCCGTCGCCACTTCGACGTCCTATCCGGTTACATTAAGTCACTCGGCCTTTCCCGTGTCACACACCACCACTCAGTACTTCCAAGAAACACATAGCATCCCTCCAATTTCGCTTAGCAATACATAAAAGCCAAAGTAACACACACAATCCAACCCAGGCACTGACCCGCCATCCCTCGGTCCCTTCCGTGTCCAATAAAACATGCCCTCCACCGCCAACCCCAGTTCCTGACTCACCTTCTCCAGGTCCTTTCTGCCCACGGACGCCGCCAGGCTGGCGTTGGCGCTGCACATGCCACTGAAGTCCTGTCCACCCAAACTGGAAGAGGGAGGTTTAAAGGGGACGGTAAGACGCCACCAGCCACCAAAGCCGCGGTTTGTAAGATATAGATATTTAACGGTTACTTGAGGGAAAATCGGATACCCTGCCACTGACGCCATCGAACATCCGACGGCTAGTAGAGCAACTGGTCATGACGGGTCACTCACCTCCCCTTACTAGGAAAGGACAATGGTAATGTAACGGAGCCATCTCCTCCCCTTACCCCCGCCCTTGCTGCGAAAGGATTAAGTGGTGATGTGATGGGTAACGGAGTCACTTATCACGCAGGCCCACATTCTTAGCCAAATGAGCCATTACACCTTACGCACGGACGACTGGATCCCACAGTCACTCACAGGTATCGTTCAGCCAGCTCCCTGTTGAGCGGCATCAGACGACTGGCGTCGTAGCACAGTACCATGTTGGTGTGTGTTCGCGGGTGGCGCGGCCGGGCCCTCTCCTCCCCGTACGCCTTGGGACGGCGGCCCAGAGACGATGTGCCCAGACGCTGCGGACAGAGCGACGGGGAGGTTAGAGGAGACAGATAGGGTAGGCAGGACCAAAGGTCCATGTGCCGTTGTGCGGGAAAGCGGCTAGTAAACCGCACGAGCATGACTTAGATTAACAGCTGCGCCGATATTCTAAAGCTTGAGTTCCGTTAGAAACGCTACAGGTGACGGGGTCGCATGACATCTTGGACAGTCGTTGATTGTTGTAGTGTACCCATGACGGCGTAATAGACCAGTCGTGATAAAGCACTGAAGTTAAATATTTGCTGTTAAAGTGCTAACAGGCAATCAAACAAGTCTCCATAATAACATTGCCCCTTCAATTCAATGAAGAAATAGCAGTGTCATACGAAACGTCTGGGCACGGAGAGCCAGAGCCTATAGTATCTACAGCAGCTGCGCTTACCACCGCCTCCTTGCCGTAGAGCGGTCCGTCGGCGCCGGTCGGGCTGCGCGACAGGGACGGGAATAGCATCGGCGAGGCGGCCAGCCGGGCGCCGGCCAGCGCGTATGAGGCGCCCTGCGCGTAGTTGATAAGGTAGGCGTCCAGCGCCGACAGCGAGCGCGGCGTGACGCCCTCGCCGCGCGACGACAGCCGCTTCATGTAGGCCGGACACGCAAACACCACCAGCATACCTGGGAAAAATGGAATACCACCATCACACAGTGTGTCATCACACAGGGTAAAATTGCCTCCGTCACAGATAGCAACTTTCACTGTCCCACAGTGCGAACACCATCGCCACACAGCGCAAACACCTTCGTCATGTAGGCTGTGTAGACTGACCGTTGCCGCAGAACCTGGCTCCCGAGGTGCGCGGAAATGCCACGTTGACGTCTTTGAAGCTGCCGTAGAGGTTGGCCGACGGGAAGAGAGTGGTACTCGGCGCCTGGCAGCAGCAGGGAGAAATTGTCACAGCTACAGTCTAAGCTAGCCGCGATTCCGGCCGACCAGCTGACAACAGACCAAGGTAGAGCAAAATCGAGCCCCGACCGCGCCCTGCATCTGAAGGGGACGCAGATAGGGAAAGAGAAAAATAAATGATACAGAAAAAGGAAAGAAAGTACGATACAGACAGACAAACAGAAAAAGGAGACGGACACTGACCGGGTAGAGTGATGGCGCCGTCTCCTCCTGGCGCTCCATCAGCCGCTGGAGGCTGGCCGCCAGGTTCCGCAGGCACGGCTCCAGGCAGCTGCGGTTGCGCTTCACGTGCTGCTCGGCGGTGAGCTCCCAGGCCTTTTTGACGTGCTGTCGGTCGGCGGCGCTGAGCCGGGTGCCCTCCAGGTACCGAAACTCGGGCTGTTGGCTGGGGTAGCTCAGTGGGAAGGTGACCCGTAGGCAGGCGGAGACGGAGCCACAGACTACGGAGACGGTGCAGCACCGCTCCTCGGCGCTCATCTGCGGACCGGGACAGAGTGATCGACCGGACGGCAGGGGCAGTCACAGGGCGGGGCGTGCGGGACAATCCCAGCAAAGGGGCAGTCACAGCACAGGCCATGGATCGTCACGGTACCGCAGGCTAACCGCCATAGAACGGGGCGGGCCGTCGCCCTACATCGAAAACATGAACGATATACGTATGTCCTCGGCAGGCTATATCCCAAAGCAGCAGCTACCTCCGGACACTCCCAGCCTCTTCGGTACCCAGTCCGCCCACCTTTTCGATGCGCACGTTGTCGATGTTTTTGTTGATCATGAGGAACTCCTGCTCGAGTGAGGCGGGCGGCCCCTCGCTGATGGCTCGCCAGATACGTGGCGGCGCCGGCCGCTGCGGGGAGACGGGCGGCGACACGGGCCCGCTGCCGGGGCCGCTGTCGGCCGCCGACTGCTCCTGGGAGGTCAGCTCGATGCAGCTGGTCTCCATACCTGCAAAACGACAACACATTCTGTCAGCTCTGGACAGGCAGCGAACGAAGCGACTAACTCTGTGCGGTTACGTCTAATTCTGGCAGTGAAACTCATCCTTGCGTCGACGGCTGCAGCGAGAGTATGTAACGACAGCATTGACAAAACGAAAACTTAGATTATTACGGGTGTTCAGCGCTTCTTCTCGCCGTTCCCATGACCATCCTTTAGTTCGGTGTTTGCTGATGTTGACGGCCAGTGAGTACCGTCGGTGGTCGGCGAGGCGGCGTGGTCCGTGTCCAGTCCGCTGACGCCGTGCACCAGCTCGTGGCCACACGCCTGCAGCAGGTCGGCCTTCAGCGGCCAAAGACGCAGCGTCTGGTCCCGGGACCACGTCAACAGTTCGTACTCGCAGTCGTCTGCCGGACGGACACGGCGGGTCACCGGCCGGCGCTCCGAAGACCCAAACAGCAAAACGACCAGTCACAATGGCACCATACTGTCACACCGAGAAAATCAGCTTTGACAAGACAAGACCAGTGGATAAGAATATTTTCCATCAAATATCATTCGGGTTCCTTTAACCCGCGCGGGGCTGGGGTCTCCAGCCGAACGCGCGGGGCTGGGGGGGGGGGGGGTAAATTTTACCCCCCCTGTTATCTCCCGAACTAATGGTCCGATTTCGAAAATTCAAACGCCAATCGAAAGCTCTCATCACGAACTACTAAAAACATGTACTTAATTTAAAGTTTGAGGTCAAGGTCAAGGTCAGGTCAAGGGTACAAATTGCAAGTTTCTACAGTATCGGCCTTGCACCGTAGTTGCCGAAGAATGGAGTCATTGACTGAGACTGATCGCCCAAAACGTGTTCTTAGGCTACCAAGACAATATTAGTTGCATACAATATCATTCAGAGGTCAAGGTCAAGGTCAGGTCAGGTCAGGTCAGGTCATCAAAAAACAAAATATAGAAAACTGCATGTGCGACACATGTTTTATGGGTCATTTTACTCATAGAATTCAATAGGCACACTCAATAAGTGATATGGACCACCCCTGGATGAATTTCAGGTCGAGGTCAGGTCAAGGTCAGGTCAAGTGAGGTCAAATTTTGAAGTTGGTTGTTAAGGCCTAAAAAGGTGTCTATCTGATGCAGTTTTTCACGGCGAATCGAATGGTGCTATTTTTGTTTCCGTACGAGGTCTAGAACTTCCAAAAAAGTCATTTTTCAAAAAATTTTGTGTGTCGTGACGTCATAAAATTTTGAATAACTCCCACATTTTTGAACCGATTCTTCTAAAATTTGGTATGTAGGTGCACATAGACCACTTCTCTGACATATATTCCGGTTTTTTCGATAGACTCAAAATTTTGGATTTTATAATGATTTTCCCAAAAAAGTCAGTTTTTTGAAAAAATTTAGGCCAAAATCCAAAATTTTCAAAAAACCGAGATAGCCATTTGATAGACAAAGTAAAATTACGCATAACCTTTTTTGTTACGTCTTGATTCCTTTAAAAATGAAGATGTTAGCGGCGTTTGAACTTTTGCCGTTTTTGAGGCGAAAATGGCGAACATGACGTCACTAAAACGTCAATTTCTCAAAAATTTTCCGACGGATTTCGCTCAAATTTTCAGGGAACGTGTCAAATTGATGTAAGAAAAGGTACTGAAAGTTTGGCGGCGCTGCGCGCCGCTGTTTTTGAGATATCGCAAAAATTCGCGAGGGGGGGTAAAATTTACCCCCCCCCCCCCAGCCCCGCGCGGGTTAAGACACTTGCAGAAAACGATTGGTAATTGCGACAAAAGAAGAAAAAAGGAAAATGATAAAGGTCAGTGACGAAATTAAAAGGAGCATTTAAAAGCGCCAAAAAAGATTTCCTGCGGGGGTGTAGCATTCATACGGAAGAAAAACTGAAGCGGCCAAATATTACCTCTGATCTGTGATGGGTCGGGCTGTCGCCAGTCAAACTCGAGCACCACGTCCGAGTGACCTGCGAACGTGTGCTGCGGGGCGGCCAGGCTGGCCGTGTTCCACAGACAGAGGCAGTAGTTGTCTCCGCGCCGCAGCTGCGGCACCGCCACCGTCACCAGGCCGCTGCCGAACGGCTGACGGACGCAGACGAAGACGTCAAAATAACATCACAATTAACGACTCATAAAAGGTATAAAAGGAAAGGTTTACCCGTACAAACTACTTGCACTACTGCAATCGTATGCACCATTACCAGTACAAACAGTTGAAAGAGATGCATTTATCGGTGCTCTCCAGAAATAATAACCCGCAATTTTCCAATGCACCAGATGTCATGTCGCATCACTTTGCCTCCCAGCGTACCTTTTGTAATTATTGACACACCCGAGCATCTGAAGGCAGTTTCAAGAGTCAAGCGTATCACAGAAAGCACGAGCGTACATACGTCGTACGGATCATGCACCGCCCATGCCCCTGAGAACTGCACGTACCGTGTAGCGGGCGCGCCAGACGGGATCCTTGGCCTTGGGCATGCTGACGATGTTGCGGGGGTTGGTGACGTCGATGAACTTGACGTACATGTCCTGACTGGCCGTGGCCAGTTGAGACTCCTGAAAGATTTACGTTGTCCTTCAGTCATACAGCTCAACCAAATAAGAAAATAAGGATCAACGTGAAATTCAATTTCTAATGTGTTACAGTGCGATCGCAACAAGAAGTCCTGAAAATAAGTGTGTGATGTGAGTGTGACGTCAGTAAATCGATTCATGATGTTAGCCCCATGTTTTTTTTACGATCAGTCCTGTTACGAGCGCGGCCGTCAGAGCGCCACTCACCGAGTTGGGTGACCAGTCGAGGCCGTGTATTTTGGCCGTGTGTGCCGATATGTAGCGCTCTGGGATGCTGAGCTTGCGCCGGTCCCAGACGCGAATGTCGCCCTCGTGCGAGCTGGCCAGTGTCTGACTCGAGATCCGATTCCACTTTACCTGTTCAACGGAGTCATGTTGTGTCAGTCAGGAGTGCAACACTGCCCGTCCCATAGCATGACAAGGAATGCATGGACGCACAGAAAGGGACACAGACGCGAACTGCGTACTGCCGCCCTTGGGACTCATCCAGCTGTTGTAATGAATTTAATAACATTTGCATTCGTCTCTATCTGAAAATATCAAGGCACGTATCAGCTCATGATGAATTAATTACGCGCATTGTAATTTTCCCGTAGGTTGTATGGTTGACAGATGTCAAGTGATAGGTTAAGCGAGATTATATAAATCGAACTAACCCACAGCCCCCAACCAGTCTCACCTGGCAGGCGCTCTCGACGGAGCGCATGGTGGCGACGGGCCGGCGGGGCTCCCTCACGTCCCACAGGTGGACGTTGGTATCGACGCTGCAGGTGGCCAGCAGCGGCTCGCTCCAGTGCCAGTCCAGGTCGGTGATGGTGCGTCGGTGAGACTGCAGCTTTCCCGTGGAGCGGATGTCGCCGCCCGAGCAGCGGAAAACCTCCACCGCCGTGTTGTACTGCCGGGCCGGAGATACACGGTGAGCTACGATTAACAGCGAACATACCGGTAGCTCAAAGGCATGCTAAATACTAAGCGTTATCAATTCACAGGACGTAATAGCTGTTAGACTTACCGAAACCGGAAACTAAGTTATCTCTTTCCAAAATATGACAAAATGTGTCCTGCTGCCAGTACCTCTGAGCCGCGCTGTGACTTACCGTGACGGCCAGGTCGGCGCCGCCCTGCGCCGCGGCGCGGCTCCACGCGGCACTCCCGGCGTCGTACTTGCTGTGCCAGCTGAGCGCGCGCAGGTGGTGGTCGGGCCGCTGCAGGTCGACCAGCACCAGCAGCCGCCGGCTGGCCAGCAGCGCGTGCTGCCCGTCCCGGCTGACCGCCATGCAGCTGGCAGACTGTCGGGGGCGCAGAGAGGTCGGCACTGGGTGAGTGTCGGGGGCGCAGAGAGGTCAGCACCGGCAGACTGTCGGGGACGCAGGGATGTCAGCAATGGCCGACTGTCGGAAGCATTCATTTGCAGGAAAACAGAGTTACAGTAGTAGATAATAGTCACCGTATAAACTGAACCCGTAAAATGGTACAACTACGAACTATTTCAGCATAGTCACCTCATTCTGCTTACCGGCATGTCTTTCCGTTCGATCTAAACTATGTTCAGGTCTTGCGGGTTTTAGGGGTAGGTTTTGCACCTAGAAAATTTAGTGTACTTCAGGCTATATCTTCGTCGTCTTAAGCTTTAAAGTGTTGAAGATGCGATCGACTTGTTGGTTCACAAGCCGGCCATAATCGTGTAAAATGGCTTCATCGTAGATCGATTAGTTTCTGAGATACTCGTATAACTGGAAATGTAAAAATGCAAAACCTACCGCTTAATCTCGCGAGACCTGAACCTACAAAAATCGCGCTGCTTACTGGTGCTTTTCATTCGATATAGCCTATGTAAATTGCGCTGCTTACCGGTATGTCTTTCCGCTCGACGGTCAACATGTCGCCGTCTCCGGCCCATCCGGTAGACGTCATGGCCGATCTCCTGTCAGTCTCAGTCAAATTCTATTGATGACTTCTGGTCTGGTTGCAGTCTGCAGAACAGTATGATTAGCCCTCGCCCGTATTGGTGTTTTGTCAGCAGTGAACGTATAAGGGCGGAGGGGGTCCGTTGGACCCCCCCCTTGCCGTTTCGCCCCGGATCGAGCTAGAGCTTCGCGGCAAAAACAAGCATGTTGCCCGCGACGAGAGGAAGCCGATGATACCCAATTTTAAGGTCCTAGGTCATCGGTTGACCTTCCAGGTCAGGTTAATGACCCAAAAGTCGGGAAAATCTGGACCTTATTCTTTGGAGCGCTCTTGCGAGGAACATTATGAATATTAGAGAGAGAGAGAGAAAATATATGAAAAATTGACCTCTCCTCGACATTTAAAATTATTTGAATAGCCAAATATTACTGTATTGATATTTCGACCAACAGGTCTTCTTCAGAATAAGACAGTGTACACAAGTGTACGAGAATACAATAATTGATGCAGCAGACTTATTCCCGCGGTTTTCAAATTCAAAAATTAGCGCGGTTTATCTCGCGCTCATAAAACAGTGGTACAACCTTTTTAACGACTTCAAAATATCACAGAATAAGCATGAAAACACATCACTTGACACATCGAGTTCAAAGGTCAACACTCCAAAGTCAAAGGTCAAAGTACTAGGTTCAAATGCCAGACAGGAAGGTCGAGTTCAAGGTTAGAGTTCAACGTATCCATGACCATCAAGGTCAAACCATAGCCAGATAATGTAAATTATACAATATACACATATATACAGATCTTCATTCAGTAATATTTGGCTATTCAAATAATTTTAAATGTCGAGGAGAGGTCAATTTTTCATATATTTTCTCTCTCTAAAATCTGGACCTGTTAGAACGTCGTAAAGTGTGGCTGATATGGGGGTTTTCGGGGTGCTGATCAAAAATATATAAGGTTTGATCACAGATGATGTCTTCATGCATTTAGGCCAAGTCGGGTCGGATCAGGTCAGGTCAACCAGTAGGGATTTTGCCGGGTACTCGTAGAAGGTGTCAACCGCCTCTGACAGCTTCGTAACATGTTACGAAGGCACCAAAACTACTTCGTAAATGTTCAAATGGTTGCCAAATTCGAATAAAGCTCCAAACACTAACCTAGAAACATGTAAAACTCGGAAAATGAACCGAGGTCATCAAAGGTCAATGAACTGACCTGACCTTCAAGTGACCTTGACACCCACCCCAATGCATGGGAGCAACATAATATCCTATGTTTGAGCCCCTGAAACCACGAAGACTGTAAACGCGCGGCTAATGCGAGCCGACATACGCGGAATCGCGATTCCGGCCAAACACGGTCTCGAAAAGTAGGTCACAGGTCACAGGTCATTTGGGTCAGGGTCATGAAATTTTTAGGGTAGGTGTAAAATTGATAAACGCGAGGGTACTGAAAGACTGATTTAGCCATGACATGGTATATCACACAATATTGTAGTGTCTAATGAAAGCGGCTCGCTCGCATTGACATTTTCACAGCCGCAAAGGTATCGATCGGATTCCCCTCCCCGCGTTCTTCCTCATACCGAGCTAGGGCTTCGCGGAAAAAAAACGAGTGTGTTGCCTAAGACGGGAGGAAGCTGATGATACCTACCAAATTTTAAGGTCATATGCCATTGGTTGACCTTTCAGGCCAGGCCAATGACCCGAGTATTGGAAAAATGTGGACCAATTTGAACCTCTTGAAGTGAGGTTTCAGGTGTTTGCTTTTTTCAGTGCCCTTGCCTACTTTAAAGTTTGCATTCCTCATGTTCAAATATGAAGGATTCATTTAAGTATCTGCGACTCAGGCTGAAGAAATTGTGGATTGTGATGCTGAGGAATTTGATTTTTCAGGACCCACCCAAATAGTTCCTTTGCTTTTAATTGCTTGATAAGCTTCTTTGAAAAAATGGGAAGGTCCAGGAGCCCTAACCTATATAGTGAAAAATAACTTTGAAAAATTCATAGAACATAGGAGCCAGGCCACAATTTTTTGTCTTGGTCTAGCTGGGCCAAGGCAACCAGCTGGGCCCAGGTGAGACTAACAGCTAAGTGTAAAGGAGTTCATCAGGGGCCCAAATGGCCCATTCTTTTTTCCACCCTAGGCCCAGTGGGTTTTACTTTCTTCAGTCAGATTTAAGGTCTGTCCAGGTGTGCATCTGTGGAGCTTTGACAGAAAATAAAATGGGCAGCCCTCCCCCAACCCATTTTTTTGCAGGGCCTAGTTGGACCCAGGTAGGTCAACAGCAAATGTTATTGAGTTTTTTTCTGCTGTATTGAATGGCATATTTTGGGTTTTTGTATAAAAGTCATGAAAGAGAAATCCAATTTTTCTTTTTGGTGTGCTGTGAAGCTTGGATGCATGTTCCAGAGGTTTCATTTTTTTCCTTGCTTTCTTGGGATGAGTCTGAATTCCTGAATTGGGCAATAATCTGAAGAGAAATGCTCTTTTTGTTCAAATCAGATCTTGATTGGTCCATTTAGATGACTTATTGGGTTACAGCACCTGACAAGAGCACCAGTGGGCAATGACAGCATGCCATTGTCAGGGTATACAGCTATGCATTGTAGTACCAGCTTTCAGCTAGAAGACTAAGCATTTTTAAAAGGTGCTTATTTCTAGATAAATAACAATTTAAAAGGGAATATAAAGGGTTCACTGAGCAAAAATCCTTTTTGAGCCCCTGCAACTTGGGTCACACATCAGTAGGCAGAACTATGGTCAAGCGTTCCCATATTTGGGAACGCATTTTCGTTCCCATGTTTGGGAACGATAAACCCAAATATGGGAACGCAATGTAGGCATTGTTTAAAACAAGAAGAAGAACCGTTAAATGGCATCCAAAAAATATAAAACGATCGTGAACCGCCTGATATTTGTCTCAATATTGTTGGGAAAGAGGTTGATATTGTAAGGCCCATCGTATCTTCAAATCGTTCCTCTTTTTCTAAAGCAGTCCAACTCCACCACCCGGGCCGCGTGCCCAAATTTGGGAACGCTCTCGTACACTGGCGCTGCAAGCGTTCCTTATTATAGGAACGGCGTACCCAAAATTGGGAACGATTTCACCGACGCCTTTCACGGGCTCTTTTCATTAACAAGCATCACGTCCAACGCCGCAAGTTATTGTTAACGCAACTATCATAAGATGACCTTTCCGGCAAGACCGCCGCATGTTTCGCCGGGTCTTCTGCGCTCTTATTCCCGTCGATCCCGCAGCGGGCACGCCCCCCTCTGCAGGATTACGTAATTCACAACGCTCAGCGATGTTCAACAAGGTCTTCCATGCCTATATCCACCGTCCGCGCCGAGGGTGCAGGCATGTAAAGCACCTGTCTGTTTAACACTGATAGTTGACGAGCACAAGTAAGTATCCAAAAATGGGAATGCTGAAATGTTTCACTCTCAAAACACCTAGTCCCAATAAAAATCTACTTTTTTCCTTTCTTAATGAGTGTAAGTGGCAAAAAGCCTGGTAGGATGGGCACGAGAAATGATCAAAATCAGCATAAAAATTATAAATAAGCCACACAGGGCGACCTGCATAGAAGAAATTCCCCCAAAACGATCGTGCTTAAAAATACTGAAGGCAAAAACCACGCTCATGACGCTCCTTAAAAGCAACGCCAAACAGCTAGCATCCAAATAAAATATGTCTTTCAGGGTTGACAAAATACAGCTGAATAATTTTCAACCACTTAAACTGATTTTACAACAGTAGTTCGGTAAATTCACTCACGTTCCACGCGGTCGTCTGCCCCGACACCAAAAGTCAACTACCTCGGGACCGTCCGCGTGTTTGCTTGCGTATGCCAGCATCTGGGGTCGCTAGTATGAAACTTCATGACCAGGCGAAAATTAGTACTTGACCTCAAACTGAAAAAAATGCTTCATTTTCCTTAAAATTGCATGTTAAATGTCGTATAACCCATATTTCCACCATTCTGTCATTTTAAAAAAATCACTAAAAATATCATTCCACGGTCAATTTCCTTGTTCAACGGTCAGATTAAAGTTTATGGAGATTTAGTAGATACTTTAATTAGCATGCACTTTTTTGAGACGTGATGCACTTTTGAGTTTTCGTGGACGAGCGGCCGAAAAATTGCCTTCCGTTCTCATAAATGGGAACGCCCGTTCCCATATTTGGGAACTCCGTTCCCAAAAATGGGAACGTCCCTATATTTGGGTACTCATGACCATAGTTCCGCCTACTGACATATTATAAGTGGATAGGCTCAACAAAAACGAGCATTAGTAGAGCAGATGTCACACGAAGGTTTTCCAACCAAGGTGACTGGAGAGGCGCTATACCCGGAGGTGCTTCTTTCTAACAAAACCTAAACAAAACTAACCTAACCTAACCTACAACCTACAAGCCTAAAAACCTCAAAAACGAGGGTTCAGCGGCAGCCTAGTGAATTAGGACAGTCACGGTGCCAGCTATACCAACATGTCATTCAAAAATAATTCAATGCAGCATAATTTGACAGCTTATATCATCATTTCATGCCAATTACCTTACTTTTTTCCAATATATGTTCGAGCCCCCCTAAGCGGCGGCGGCCAGACCGTGCGCCGTTTTTGTCGCACGTCCACTGCTCCCTAGATTTTCCCCGCGTTCGATGTCTCCCGGACGGCGAAGATTCTACGCCGTCCGGCCAATCACGTTCCAGAACCGCAGCCGAGCCCCCGCTGACCTTGGACGGGATTGGCCGGACGACGTAGAATCTTCGTCGTCCGAGAGACATCGAACGCGGGGTTTGTCATTGGATTCGCGTGCGTCTGTGAACATTTTAATGACGTCAGGAAAAAAACGTCCTTCCTACCAGTCACTGAGCTATTTTCAGTCAGGATGAAGAGGATAATTTGAGAAAATTTGAAGTTTTTGATCTATATGAAAAAGTAGAAAATGTGAAAAACATGGTTAATGAGGCATTATATAAGTTTTTGAATTTTGATGCTCTATTTTTAGTCTTACATTAGGGGTTTGTTGACGTCATGATTATACAGATGTTAGATAGGATCTATTATCGATTATCATTGACTTTATTGTTGATTTACGTTGATGTCAGATGGGTCAGATGCGGCCTTGGTCAAATGTGTGTGTGTGGAGGACGTGGGAGTAGTTGGGCTGGAGATTTTATGCATTATTATTTTGGCCGTTATGTTTAGAGTGCAGCTTTTGAATTAAGACGATGACCATAAGATACTTAATTTTCAAGGTTTGACAGCATAAACGTTGTTTTTCGTTGTCTCATGACTATCAGAATTTAAATGAAAATGACCAAGCACTGATATTAAATAAAGTAAATCGAATGCTGCCCCACTCACACCACAAAGCGTAAATACTAAATAGTAATCTAAAATCGACTAAAATCTTCCTAACATGATCTTTGGCAAAGGCATTTACCAAAACCTGAGCCTGGACTTTGGGCATCTTGATCATTATGCGTCCTTAGAAGTTAGAGGTAACCTGTTACCCGAGATCTCGAAATCGTGTTCCTGCCTAACAGTCGCTGCATCTTTTAGTAGAGCATATGTTTAATTGTAACAATTAGCAAGGTTCTAGCTCTATTAGGGGCGAAATGATCAGGGTATCATACCCACGCCACCCCTCCCCCGATCGGATGCTGTGTTTGTAAAAGGACGATGCCCAATGCTTGATAGGTCTGGCAGGGGCTAAGTATAGATTGATTGAGGAACTGTAATTACACTAGTCACTATGTCTATTCCGGTGTTCATTTCTAAATTTATCTTATTTTCCCTTTAGTCTTTCTCTTGAGTCTTGAATTGAAGTTGAGAAAATATAGGTAAAGCAAAATGGATAGAGAGCATGGGGCATTAAACAGTGAGCTCTAAGCTAAGAATAAATAAAAGATTGTTTCATGGGAGGATTCAACAACAATTGCTCCAGCATGCTGCTAGCTTACTGGCTTGGTTGGTTTTTAATGTTTGAAGGACAACACTTCTTACTTCCTCATCTAACATAGACTTCTTTTCTCTCAGGTGACATCTCCGTCACAGTTATAATTGAAGACTTTCATTGTTATTATCTTTGTCATGGATGATCTGAAAGAGAAGTTCAAGACACTGATGAACAAGCCGGTGAGAAATGAGAAATTTCTGTAGTGCATCAATTTTTACATTGTGTACATTTACCTACCTACACCACTGGACTTTCTGTTCACCTATATGAAAGCATGATTTCCAAGCAATGGTTCAACATCCTTTCATGTGAAGGTCCTGCTTGCTATTTCTTAGATCGCTGTATGGTCACACTCCACAGCTACCTTTTTTGTAATGGACCATCATATAGAGTCACAATAACAGCAACAGTTTGCAATTACCTAGTCGTTATATGTTTGATTGAAAATCGTAATGCTTAACCAAAGCTGCAATCTATGAGCAGGGAGACCATACAGTTACTCCGTGTCCCGTGACTCAGACGGCGATTATCCTGCGTCCGCTGCCCGTCTGCTGACCGCTGACCGCCTACCTTCCGCCGCCTGGTGACCACTCGGCCCGCTTCTCGTTCGTCGGCAGTACCGTCGAGCGCGTACTGCGTGGCTTCGCCGCGGTTCCCGCCCGAACGCTACAATGCTCCCCTGAAACAAGAATAGAAGGAAACGAAATCACGAAAAGTATTTTGCTGACCAAACCATCTTGATAAACTAGTTATAAGTTTGACTATGGTGCTTACTGCGTACCCATAAAGCTTCTAGCTAAAACAAATATTTCAGTGAATCAGGTGCACGTTTTCACGGTGCTGTCGTTGCAGTCGGTGCTGCCGGCCGTGGTATCCAGTGCCAGCGATGTCAGCTCGGCGGAGGCGGTGGAGCGGCGCGTCTGCGTCTCGAACGACGTCAGCGAGCCAGAGGCCGAGCAGGCCGTGCTGGACAGCATCCAGGGCTCGTTCTTCCAGACGGTGGACTCCTCCGAGGTGTGCCGCGAGCAGCTCCAGGTCAGAGTCAGACAGCAGAGATGAGAGCTGTTAGGTGAAATGATATTCTACACGAAATTTTATTAACGGTTGATACAAACTTACGCCGTTTGTGTCACAGTGGTCCCAAAATATGCCAGTTTGGGTGGGAAGCGACATCAAAATCAAAATAATTTTCCACCCTCACCTCCAATTTTCAAAGCAATTTTTCACTCTCTGTTTTACCAATTAAGAGCATCTGTGTGTACCTTTTACCTCCCTCCATATATTTTGATTCAACCATCTTATAAGGCAGCTCCCGCATTCTCCAACATTCACAAATAAATTGTTGAGTGTTGACCCCTGTTTTCAACTCTTTCTAGTACCTTTCTGACTGGTAATTTTCCACTCTCAGCCGTCTTTGTAGTGACAAATATTCCCCTCTGACACCCAAGCCAAAATATAATTTTGGGACACTGACAGTGGATGACGATAGGCATAGGCCATCGCACTGTGCTGTATGAGTGATAAATTACATCTTAGACGGGGACATTGCACGTCTTTGCGGCATGATTTATGAATGACGATATCAGAGCTCTCGAGCCATTTTTATTATCGACGTGAGAATAGGTACCTATCACGCAGTGAGCCTGAGAAAGCAAGTGTATATACGCCGAGCGGAACCGATGCGCTATATCGTCACAAACTATCTCCGTCTCGCTAGGTTATCGTCTCACTGATGATTGGTGTTTGACAGCGGTTCCCTCCGACGCTGGACGTGAACCTGGTGAACGGCCAGCGCCAGATCCTGCGCCGGCAGTTGACGGTGGTGTCCAAGAAGGTGTCTGACATGATCCTACACTGCCAGCCAGAGCACAGCCAGGAACTCGAGAGGTATGAGCTGGAGTTTATTGGGGAGCTGGGGATGTATGGGAGGGAGCTCAAGAGATGTGGACAGGGGTAGAGAGGCATACATAGGAGTAATCGGAGAGACGTGAGATGGATTTGGAGAAATACGAGACGCGTGTGACAGTGAGCGGAGTCGGCAGAGTACTGTTAAAACTGTCATCCCGGCCTTACCTGACCCATACATGCGGTTATCCGCTGTCTGAGATCAAATTGCTCTTAGTTCGATATTGCGTCGAAACTACTTACTACCAGCCACGCTATTGATTCACTGATGCATATTACGATGCTAATGCTATAATCGCCCGTGTGTTTGTCGTCACGGGCCGTGTTCCGTGCCGCCGCAGGGTGATGCTGCTGCAGGAGGAGCTGCTGCAGACGCTGGCCGTCTGCCAGACCGCCCGACAGTCCGTACGGCAGGCGCAGGCCCACTTCACCGCCGGCGGACTGGGCGTGCTGGCCAACTACCGGCACCGGCAGGCGCTGCGCACCGTGCTCCGGCCGCTGCACACCATCCGAACACTGGTAACTACGCGTCGCAATCTAAAGTCTTATCATTGATCAATATTTATTCGTCTGAGCTTTTACATGGCATCGATTTTTTCTCTCAAGACAATGTAGTTTTCCATTTTCATTTTACGGAAAAACGTCGTCCAATGCAGTATTGTTTTGTCTGCTATTTTTGTAAACCTTTTCCAGTTTCTCTCGTCGCATTTTACCCTATTGGGATTGTGTCTGACCTATCAAGTGGAATGATCGTTCGTCGCTTATGCTTTTTTTTTTTGTTTGTTTATCAACGCTGCCAGCTAGCTATGTTGCTTTTTATAACGGTCTGTGATTGTGACCCTTCTTTGATTGTACTTACGTGTTTCTGCAGCAAATGACTGAGGCGCGTCTGGAGGAGCTGCTCCGGGCCGAGGACTACCCGGGCTGCATACACGTGCTCCAGGAGTGTCTGAAGGTGGCCGCCGCCTATCGGCAGTTCAGCTGCGTCAGCGACATGACCAACAAGCTGCAGGACACGCTCGACATGGTCGAGGAGCAACTCGATGTCGGACTCGGCAAGGTACGAGATTCCACCGATCGGATCACCTTGTATACTACCTCAGTACCTCGTAGGTCCTGCCAATCGATGCATCCATTACGGTATACATTAGGTTTCGTGAACTATATTTTCATAGCGTTATTTGGATGCTTATATTAGTGTGCGGCTGTATTTTTGACGAACATCCACTGACTGCTCCTCCCTGCCCGCTGTACCGCCAGCTGTGCACGCGGTTCGACGCGGAGCGCTACAGCCGGCTGCAGGAGGCCTACCGGCTGCTGGGCAAGACGCAGACGGCCGCCGACCAGCTGCTGATGCACATGACCTCCGCCGTGCACACTGCCAGCGGTCAGCAGGTGCTGGCGTACGTACAGAGCACCGACGGCGCGCAGCAGCCCGTGCAGAAGCGACAGTACCCCGACCTGTGCGCGGTAAGACTGGGACGTGCTTAGGGGAGCTGGTAGCAGACATGAATTGAGTGATGTGTGGACGTGCTCTTTACATATTTTTTTATCATTATATGCACGTACTGGCAGGTGGTAAATTTTACCCGTTTCTTTCGGCAAAATCCTTACTTATTCAAAATGGAGACAGTCACAGGCTGTTGTTTTTTGTCTGACCCGCCGTCTCTCTGTCCAGCTGGTCCCGACCGAGAGCGTGCTGCCGTGCCTGAG